GGCAGTGACACTATTTAAATTGGATTTAATATTAAACAGTACCTAGGGTATTAGATCTACTAATCTATCAATCCATAAAATCTGATTTAAATTAAATATCTTGTGGAGTTGCTTTATAATATTTTGTACAGACTAATTTGTTTCTCATACACTGAAAAATACAGAAAATCCTGGCTTAAAAAAACAGGAGTGTCAGCATTCCAGAACCCCCCTCCCCCAACTCCAAGTAAAAACTCTGAAGCAAGCATTTTTCAAAGTTCTATTTATTAGAATAGGTGAACTAGCACATCTGGGAAAACCCGAATCTGAGAGGTCCGGGTTTTTCTTCAGTAAATCAAAACCCCCCAAACCATCCTCTCACTCCTCAGTCGATCACATGCTCCAATCACCATCCGTCCCATCTAGAGACAGCACTCTGACCACTCCTTCTCCAGATGCAGGATCGGCCTGACCTTGACCGACAGGAAGAATGCTATTATGTCTAAAGACAACCACTCTACTAAATCCCCCCTCCTACTTTCCCACACATGAGAAGGTGGCAGCATGGAAGTTTCCGGCCTAATATGGCTTCCAAAGCTGACAAGGAGTGGAAGTTATATCGTTTGTTATTGGAAAAGAGGAGACAGAGTTCATGAGACTGGGACTTGTGTCAACTTCTACTCATAATAGAAAACCATGCCGCCTTATGTCAGAACTGGGTAGACATTTGCAATGTATGCAATATTGCAGTCCTTGTCTCTGCTCCTGATAATTAAGTCCAGCCCCCTCCCCTCCAAAAAGGGAAGGACAATGCTTCTACAAAAGAGAATTTAATTTTTTTTAAAATAGGTATTAACATTGTTACTTGTTTTCAGCCAAAACTAATTTGTATTTTTTTGGTTAAGACAATTATTTTTTTAAAAAATCATTGCTTAAGAAACCAGGCAGGAGAATTTCTCTCAAATATTGGCTTTAAGCATAATTATCCTCCTTGAAACTTGGTATTCTGCCTTCTGTGATAATTATATATTCTCCCATGGGTAGCTTTGTTTCTCTAGAAGTGCTTTGCATAAAGGAACAAGTGTGGGCAGTGATTTTTTTCTTTCTTTCATGGTTGTAAGACAAATTAAGGACCACTTCAACTTGCCTGAACAATAAAATCTTTCTCTTGGGCCTTCTAAATCCCACTCTCTGAAACACAGGTAGTAATTAAGGAAGAGTCTTTTCTGTGTTTGTATCCTGCACATGTTTCTTTTCCCCTCACCAGATCTACTCAAGAGAACACACTTTGGGTCTCCTTCCCCCCACCATGAAACAGTATTATCTTGTTGCCAGTGGTAAAATTCAAATTTTTTTTACTACCAGTTCTGTGGGTGTGGCTTGGTGGGCATGGCATGGTGGACGTGGCAGGGGAAGGATACTGCAAAACCTCCATTCCCACCCAACTCCAGGGGGAAGGATATTGCAAAATCTCCATTCCCACCCCACTCTGGGACCAGCCAAAGGTGGTATTTGCCAGTTTTCTGAACTACTCAAAATTTCCGCTACCAGTTCTCCAAACAACTCAAAGTTTCCGCTACCAGTTCTCCAGAACCTGTCAGAACCTGCTGGATTTCATACCTGCTTGTTGGGCTCTGGAGTTAGGGCTTCTCAGTGGCAGCATCTTCCCCAGACAGCTGGATGGCTCTGGCCCTGCTAGCCTTTCATAAACTCTAAAGACCTGTCTGTTTCTCCAGGCATTTGAGATTAAGTGTGTTCTGCTGTTGATGTGGTTTTATGGTTGAGATGCATTGTGTGCCATGGATTACTGTTGATAACTCTTTGATTTTTAATTTTTATACATCATCCAGACTCGGTGTTTTGAGATGGGCAGCCTTAGGCATGTAACACGCTCACACAAACAGATTCACACACTCATTCATACAGTGGGATCAGTTTATTTCTCTGGAATATGAATGGCATTCTTGTATACTGTGTAATCTCACCCCTATTTTTTTTTCAGAATCATATGTTGATTTCTGTGGATTTTATCCTAGGTCAGATGATATAACACTACAGGCAAAGTGATTCTAATTGCTTTGCCTTTTTCTTTTAAACATGAGACTTTTTAAAAAACTGGTACTTGTAAATGATCCTTTGGGATTCAGAATTGAAAAATGTATTAATAGTATGATCATTGTACTTAATTTCATTTATTGTTACTAATAAAAAATCATAAATGAAATGAAGTCCTTCCATTTGTTAAAAAATTATACAATTGGTTTATGCTCATTTCAGTGTTTTTCATTCAAATGAAGGAAATATAGGAAAGTCCCAGGAGATGGCAGTATACAATAACACAAAAAAATGCACAATGAAAAGTGAAAATGAAAGACTGAGAATAGCTTACTACTTCTCTTAGAATTGTTCTGGGGTTTATGAAAATTATGCATGCATTATTTCTATTGAGTTATATTAATGACAGCAGGAACCCATTGTTGCCAAATCTCTGACATATGGCCCTCTCTGAAATCTGCTGTGCTAGCAAATCAGTTCATGACGTGGTTCACACCAACTGCAGTGCCACTGCAGCATCATAAAACTTGACATTATTCTGGCACTGAAGGGAACAAAATGGTTACTGCACCACATAAGGCTGGTGCTGATATTTAATCTGATTGGTTTACAAAGCCAATAGAATAGCATATTATTCAGGTATATTTAATTGAACATTGCATCTGCTTTCCAAACAATGTTCTTTTCATAGCTCATCTATTCATATTAGTGAAACACTCTTTTCCAATATTTTTAAAATAATTCATATAGGTTCACAATAAAATGCTCACCATTGTTGATAAGGCTTGTCTGTTTCAGTTTCCATAGGGCATGTCTTCTTGGTCTCATGTGGAAGGTAGAGAGGGAGAGGGAAGGAGAGAGAGAGAACCAAACTGAATTTTACAACATTATATTGACTGGCAGACTTATGGCACAAGTGTTTGTGGAATAGCATTCATCTGCATTATATAAACATAATTATATTGAATTATCAATTCCTTAATTATATTGCATTCATGATCCCTGCATGTCTGGCATTTTTCTGTGCTGTGCATCAGGGGTGGGTTCTACTTACCTTTACTACCAGTTCACAATGGGATTGCATGTGCGTGCTTGCTTTGCTCGCGCACGTGCCTTGCTTCTGCACATGCGGAGATCGCCGATGATGACATCCGGGGTGGTGGGTGGGGCCTCCTGCCAATTTTACTACCAGTTCTTGTGAACTGGTCTGAACCCACCACTGCTGTGTACATTGATGACAGTTAGTTTTTCATTCACTACAGTAATATTCACGTGTTTGGGAGAGTTTGAGGCTTGAAGCATTGCAATGAATGGTCGTGATACTTTTTTTTTTTAAATTTGATTTATATGCCGCCCTTCTCCCGAGACTCAGGGCGCTTACAATGCTTTAAGCAATAGCCTTCATACTTTTGTATATTTTATACAAAGTCAGCTTATTGCCCCCACAATCTGGGTCCTCATTTTACCTACCTTAGAAAGGATAGAATGTTGAGTCAACCTTGAGCCTGGTGAGATTTGAACTTGCAGTAATTGCAGGCAGCTGATGTTAATAACAGTGCTTTAGTCTGCCACGTCACCAGGCTCTTAAGAGAGAGCAAAAGTGGTCTCTAGGAAGACACCATAGAGGTGGAAGTACAGGGTGACAATTCTTAATTCCCGATAAGACCAGATATTTCAGAATTGTTCTAAAGGGACTCATTTTCTTCATAGAAAGGACATCTTTGTTGGAAGCTGAGAGAATCTTTGAGAGGACGGTTTCTATTTATTTCTCTTCATGGCACACACCGTCACTTTCCATACTGTCTTGAAAAACTTCATGACCTATCAACACCACTTTCCTCAGCTTACATGGGGCTGCATAGGAAAAGAAAAACCACAACAGTGATACCCCTCCTTTTCCCTCACTTGGTTCTATTCCCAGTTTCATTCTTTTAAGAGAATGTGCTCGAATAACCTGGATGTCTGGCTGGTTTCACCAACTTTGAGACTTGTTAAATACATGTTAAAATAATGTTTGATATTTTTTTAATAAAAGGCTTTGGCTACAATTCAGAGATAGGTAAGTAATTAATGAAATTAATGATTATGTGACATTAAATCAGTGTGAACTGTTAGTGAGCACATAGATTTTCTCAGGGGTGAAATTCACTTGCCTTCCCTACCGGTTTGCAAATGTGCGTGCGCCGCTTGCTTGCTTCTCTTGCATGCGCCGTCATCTGTGCATGCGCAAAGCTGCCTATGGATGCTCAGAGCAGTGGTGGGTTGCCCCCAGTTCGGATGGGTTCACAAGAACCGGTAGTAAAACCAGCGGGAGGCTCCGCCCACTGACCTGACATCATCATAGGTGATCTGTGCATGCACAGAAGCTTCTGCACATGTGGGGGCGCAGGCGCAATGTGAACCGGTAGTAACCCACCCCTGGCGCAGAGGCTTAAAATCATCACAAAAAAGCGACGTCATGACGTCCGTGCGGGTGGGCAGAGCCTCCTGTAGCTACCGCTACCGGTTCACCCGAGCCGGATAGAACCGGCTGAATTTCGCCCCTGGATTTTCTCCATGACAATCGGTCCCTAAAAAGGACCTTCAGATCTTCCAATGTTAGACCTTCCAGACGTTTCCACTTCCATGAGTTCACCCACCTTGTTGCTGGTTCTCCTGCTCTTCTCTTTCCTTCCACCTTTCCAAGCATTAAAGCCTTATCCAGGGAGCTAGGTCTTCGCACAATGTGCTAAAGGGTGATAATCCTGAAATGAATAGGTTTTATTTATTTTCATGAAATACAAATCCAGCATAGAATTGGCTCCCCAGAATTACATAGCCATGAATAAGCTCTTTAAAAAGGGGTTGTAGCTGCCGTGGGCTTATCAAATGCAACAGTATTTAAAGATTATGAAAGGCTAGAGAAACTCTTTTGTTGATGTTATCTAATCTTTTTTCTGTGCTTTTATACCTTCCCTCAAATGCAGGAACTGGTGTCAGAGAAGATGTCTACCTGATTTGGAGGGAACTAGAGGAAGCCAAGAATATCTTAACTCAGATAGAGAAAATTCTTATAGAATTTGAGAAGTCTAAAAGTGTGGCAGGTATTTTATGAATGCATAATTGAAAAGGACTTGATTTATGAACAGTTTGATGGAAAGCATTCTCAATAGGTGCCCATCCATTAGAGATAATCTACAAATTGTAAATCTGTAGAAACAGTCTAGAATAAAACACCCTATCACTTGCTGGTTTTACTTGCAATCTACTTCTGAACATGAGAACAAATAACAGAGCTAAACTGGGGAAGTTAAGAAGATACCACTTATTAGTTCCTCGGCATACATACATATATATTCATTTACTGATTCAGTAACTACTTATTTGTTCAAATTATGCTTTTTCACCTTCATTTCTTCTTTTGCTACAGCTTGCCTCAGTAGATCTGGGTTCAATGTAAGATCTCTCTTATGTGGGAAGAATTTGTTACAAAAAGTTACCTTAGCCGACTTATTTCCTTTGCTAAAGGTTAGTGTTGGTTAAGGAAGGAATGAACTGGACTGTGTCCAGTATTATTGGACTTTCTCCAGCTCAGCCAAAACACCCACTCTATATAGAAGGAAGAACCTTTCTCAGGGTCTTCTGCCAAATTTCCCCCAAAAGCCAAGGTTTCTGTAATGGTAGCCAATTCCCTCTGTTCCCTTTAAATCTGGGTGAAGCTGTCACCTGCAACCACACGGATTCTTCCCAGCCTTCCAGAATCTTGAGTGGAGCTCATCCCTCTGGGTCTTTGCTTCCCATCTTCTAGAGAAGCCCTGGACCATTCTTCTCTCCCCAAAGGACACTTGCCCTGCACACTTCACTCTCCAACTTCTCTCCAGCTTCTCCATTCACAACAGGTGGCATACTTTTAGTCTCCTCTCCCCTCTTCTCCTTCCCCTTCCCCATGTCCTGTAGCTACTGAGGAGATTGGTGTTCTCCCAGAGACCCCAACACTGATATACCTTGCTGCACCAATGGGACTGCTTACCCAAAATCTCCCCACAGCAGCTCTGAGTAGCAGTCAGCTCAACTCATCAGTCTCATGACAACACAGCTGCCCCTCAAAAGTGAGCTGCTTTTTCTTCTTATCTCTTTCCAATGTCCAGTCACAAAATTTCTACAGCAGGGGTGTCAAACTCGATTTCGTTGAGGGGCGAACCAGGGTTGTGTTTCACCTCGAGGGGCTGGGGGGGCGTGGCCAGCTCAATATCACTCACGTCAGGGGGTCCAAGTACTCTGCCAGCAAAAACGGGCTCCTGAGCTCCATTTTCAGCTGCAACAGCTTCCTGTAACCCTCTGCCAGCAAAATCAGCTCTCCCAAGCTCTGTTTTCAGCTGCAAAGTCGTCCTGCAAACCTCTGCCAGTGAAAATGGAGCTTGGGAGGGCCGCATGTGGCCTTCCCGAGCTCCATTTTTACTGGCAGAGGCACTGTGGCCCGGTCCTTTGCTGTTTCCAGGGTGGCCCCACGGGCCAGATCTAAGCACATTGTGGGCCGGATCCAGCTCCCGGATCATAATCCCAGGAGAAGGCAGTTGCAAAACATTACAAGCTGTTACCTAAGAAAATTATATAGACCTGCAAAAGACTAGAGTGACCAAGAATTGACTCAGATCAGAGGAGACTTACCTATAAAGTAGTTATATTTCTAAGGAAAGAAGAATGTATTAGTCATGTACCATAAATAAGTATGTGTATGCAAATATATCCATTTCAAATTAAGTCATATAATAGCTTTAGGCTGATATTGGCACATGCTTATTTATATTAATATTTTTATATCAGCAGAAGAAATGGATAAAACAGAATATGAGCCAGAAGTAAAAGATTTTGTGAATTCCAGAGAGTGGCTTCAGAAGAATGGCTTGAAAGCCCAGAATCTGACCATACCTAGAGCTTTTTCTGATTGTGCTTTCCGTCATGTAAATGGAGTTGTAGATATAAAAACCAAGCCAGAAGATGAATCTCTTCAGACAAATGCTGTAAGAAATCTTCCCATTGTGTTGCTATAATTTTCTACTTTTTTGTGTGTGGGGGGGTTAGTTGGGGGATCAAATAGATTTCCAGATTTTGTTAGTTGTATAGTAGAAACCTTCATTTGCATTTCTGGCCACTTACAGCATCCCACTGTTTGCCTAGCAATATTTCTTGAAGTTATTAAAACTGGTTAGGAATTGTGACTGAATGGGAGTATAGCTGCTATTTTCTTAATCCTCTAGAAAGTATTCACATGTTTAGCCAAACTGATTCTGGATTTTTCAAAGAAAAAGCATCCCAAGCATCACATCTGGAATGACTTTGTATTACTGTTCTCAAGAAATACATTGGACCATAATAGCTAAATTTAATGCTTCATTGAAATATAACCCTCATATAGCAACTGCCTCATTTAGCGACTGTTCAGTCTACAGCTGAGATGTAAAGTAACTTTGTGACCAATTCTCACATTTACAGGTCTGTAAAGCAAAGGAAAGATGAAGTAAGATCATTAAGAATGTCATGGTTTCACTCAGTTTCCCCAAGTTGTTAGTCCCAATTGTGGATATCAAATAAGGACTGCTTGTATACATTAATCAGTTGATTTGAATCCCCCAGTATGTTATTGAAATGTACTGGGAGAAAATTTTTATTTGCTTCCTGTAGGCAGAGGCATGCCTGTGCATATAGATAGTCTTGCTGAGTAACCCTAATGGGGACTAGCAAAGTGGTCACTAAATGGGAAATCATATTGCTGTGCTTTCTGACTGGAAAGAGACAAGACTATTCAGTTTCTTACCTTTGGCTTTTATTTGCCTCCTAACCACTCCTCGCCCTTTGGAATGCTTGGGTGCCTGCTTACCATCTTGAACTCATGGCAGTGTGATTGTATCTCAGCCTGGGGCTGGAAGCTGTGGGTACACTATGCAAAACACCTTGCTCTCTTGAAATCCCTTTCTCTTCAATTTCTCGGGTCTCTATTGAGAAGGGATTAAAAGAACTAATCAATTTCTATAGGCAATTTCTCCTTTGTCTGACCTTCCCCTCCACCTGACCAGAGAATGGAGATGAATTTCAAGTAAGTAAGTTTGTTTGCTCTTCTACACATTGAAAGCAATGCAATTGCAGAAAAGAGGGAAATTTGAGATTGCCTACATAATTTGCTTTTTCCATCCATTGCACAGTGAAGGGAACTATATTTCAAGCTTGTTGATCTATGTGGGCTTGTCTCCAGTATGCTAGATTATAATTCACAACATCCCAGTCTCTGTAGAGGATTGTACTTCAGTGTATTTAACTTGCATTGGCTGAGACAAGACTGATCAAAAGTTTACGAGGCCTCTGATTCTCTTGTCCTGTTGCACACCACTTAACTGAATTCATTTCACACCCATTTAGACCTACTGATTTTAAAACTTGAGCAGATTTAGGGAAACTTAAGAAATCATACTCACAGAGGAAATCTTTGTACTTTTAGGAGACAAATAAAAAGGTAATCCATGCCAAATACTGCAGCAATTTTATACATACAGTCTTGGAAGATGGGTCTATAATTCATTTACATTTGAATAAAGAAAGATGCAAGGAGTTTGAAAATAAAGTGAAGAATGCTCTTCATCAGATGGAAGAAAGGTTAGTTTGCATCCTGATAATATCTTTTCTAAAGACAGATCTTATGATGAAAAAAGGACTGATGTATCTTATTAAAAAGATTTTGAAATGCCCAAGTACTCTAATATTTAGTGTTAGGTACTCCGATTGTTTAAAAATTGAGCATGGACAATGCTAAGGGTTTCTAACTGCAATATCAAATGTGGGTATATATTCATTTCTGAATATTTGTTTGAGTAGCATAATTACATTCCATGACCTTCAAACCTAATATGTTGTTATTAATGAGATTCAGCTGTAGAAACATCACTTTTATTCTGTAATGCCCCATAGTCTACATATATTTTACTAAAATAATGGCCAAGATTCTAGAAGTACTAATCCCAATGTAGTCATAAATCTCTTTTAAGACATTTGCATCAAATTGAAATAATGACTATTCAAGTCCTACTTTATTTTTTTTATCTATGAGATTTTGAATAAAATTTGAACTAAACCATTCATCAGAGTTACCAGGGAGCTTCTAAAAGCAAGTATTATTTCTTTAATATTGATTTATTCAATATTTATGGGATGTATGTTAATACACTAATAACAATGAAACACTCAATTGTGCCTCGTTAAAACTGCCAACATGAGCTTTAGTCTGCATTTATTTATGTTGTCTATATTCCACTTTTGTTCAAAGCCAATGGAAAGAGAAGTCCAATTGAAATTTACCTTCGCAATAACTCCATTAAGTAAATTAGGTTTAGGGAATGTGATGGCACAGCTACATGGTAGTATGAAGCCTACAATCTGATTGTTCCTAATTCTCATCTGATGCTTTGGGTCTTGTTTGTTGAGAATAGTGGGAATTATAATCCCAATACAGTGATTGACAGCTGCTTTAACTCACTACTAGCACATAAACTCTATATAGCCCTGAAATTATATTCCTTCCTGCAAGTTATACAATAATCTTTGTTTATCTTCCAATTTAAAATGTCTTTTCCTTAGTAATATTTATTTTGTCTTAAAGTGATTTACTTGACTTATTCTTTTGTCCTTTATATTAAATTAATAATAAAAATAAAATTATTTAGGAGTGTTAAGATACTGGGAAGTGAGCATTTCAGACATCATTCTTGCTGTGCCTTTCATTTCATGTAAAAAAGTATTCTTATATAGAATTCAGGACCTTAAGAAAGGAAGCCGAGCTCTCTTTGGAGATGTCACAGAAGACCACATCTGTATTCTCATTGATGTGTCTCAGTCTATGATATACAAACTGCCTGTGGTGAAGGAGAAGATATATCAGCTCATAAGAGTGAGTGAACAGCTGTTTTGATGAAGAGAAGTGTCCTAATGTGGAATGACTGGCTTTTTCTGAAAAGGATCTAGGAAGTTGCCTTTTACAGATTGTCCTAGATCAGGGATCTGCAACCCGCAGCTCTGGAGCCTCATGTGGCTCTTTCATCCCTCTGCTGCGGCTCCCTGTCACTCAAAATATGTGTCACAACCGCTAATGTGCGACACGCGCCAGCACATGATTTATTAAGCTTTTCAGCCCATCTTTTTTTTTTTGGAGTTCAAAATGTTTTTGTTGCATGCAGAAATAAAAATTGTTTTCTCTGTAGCAGTTCATTGATTTCATAAATGCAACACAATATATTTTTTTTATACATAGCATAAAGATAAAAAATGATATATGCAGTGTTATCTTGATTTTAGATGTCAAAAGAGTTTTGTGGCTCCCGGTGTTTTCTTTTCTGTGGGAAACGGGTCCAAATGGCTTGTTCAGTGTTTAAGGTTGCCAACCCCTGTCCTAGACTTACAACAGTTCGTTTAGTGATCATTCAAAGTTACAACGGCACTGAAAAAAGTGACTTATGATCATTGTTCACACTTAAAACGACCATAGTAGCGCCCCCATGGTCACATGATCAAAATTTGGATGCTTGAACAACTGGTTCATATTTATGACAGTTGCAGCGTCCATGGGTCATGTGATCATCCCTTTTGCGAGGGATACATAGGGAAGCCAGATTCACTTAACTGACCCATCCACTGTGTCAAGAAAGGTCATAAAATGGGATAAAATTCATTTAACAACTGTCTCACTCAGCATCAAAAATGTTGTCTCGATTGTGGTCATAGGTTGAGGACCAGCTGTATTGTTGTTCTCTTTAACTGAATATGTGCTGTCTGGAATTAGTTCTGAGTGGAATCTTTTCCAATTTTCCCTGGAGTTGTTAGAACAGGGCTAGAACTTTATTCTTCCACGTCAATGTTCTACTAGTTTCCTCCAAGTGGAAGAGATTTTCTAAGTCCATTTTCTCAAATGGGAAAGCTGGTTATTAAGACCAGCTGCCTGCAATTACTGCAGGGTTCGAATCTTGCCAAGGCTCAAGGTTGACTCAGCCTTCCATCCTTTCTAAGGTAGGTGAAATGAGGACCCAGTTTGTGGGGGCAATAAGCTGACTTTGTATAAATATACAAAAGGATGAAGGCTATTGCTGAGCACATTGTAAGCCGCCCTGAGTCTTCAGAGAAGGGCGGCATATAAATCAAATTAAAAAAAAATAAAAATGGAATGGTGGACCATAAATTAGGACATTCCCCATATCATTGTTCTCTAGTGATGGAGTCATCATTTGGTATGTTGACACTTTTTATAATGGATGGTTTTAATGTTTTCAATGTTTTTATGTTGTAAGCCACCCAGAATTCTTGGATACAAGATGGGTGGCTAAGTAAGTAAGTAAATAAGTAAATTTGCTATGCTGGGTGAGAATTCTAGCAATGCTGAGCTCCCAAACATTTTGTGAGTACCTCGTAGAGAAAATTAGATTACAGGTAGACAATATTTTTAAGAGCAGAATTACAATTTCCAAAATATTTAATACATATTTGCTAGACAAATGAAACATTTATCCCGATAACTGACTGCTTCTCAATAAAATGGTGGGTGGGCAAAGGGAATATCTTTTTTCTCTTTCAGAGAAATCATTCAACAGATGATTTCTTACAGGAACAGTTTCAAAACAAAACCAGGTTTAACTTTGTTAAATTTGATGCTGAAGCAATAGCCTGGAAAGACAGACTTGCTGAAGTTAATGAAGAAAATATAGAAGATGCTATACTTTGGATAAAACAACTTCAGGTAACTATAGCGAAAACTTTAAGCAAATGGAAATGAATTAAACTATTGTTGGACTTCTCTTTCCCTTCTTCCATGCTCTGGGTCAATAAATTTGGGTTATAGTAAAACTTCATATGAAGGGAATCCTTCCAAGTAGACAAATATAGTTTAAATTATCTCTACTATTAATATGGTAATTTGTGTTTTTATAAACATACTTCTATTATGTTAATTTCTATTAATGTAGTAACCATGCTTAATAGAATACAGATTTGATTTAAAATAACTCAACCTTCTTTTCTATAGTAACATTTCTTTTTTTTTTTTGTTTCACTTTTTAAATTTTATTTTACATATACATATCAATGTGTGAACAGTGTGGCCCCTGGGTGTCATACATTTTAATACAGATAAAACTAGTAATATTAATCATAATTGTTGCATTCAAGCAGCTTATATATTTCTAATAATAATACACATTTACAGTATATTATGTTATAGTCTTTCATTATTCCATGTTTTAATATATTGTTCTAATGTCACTCACCATATTATTTAAACATACATAATAATACCGCCATTCAATTTCTAAACTTTCCTCTTGTTATTGCTTTTATTTTATTATATAAAAATGTGTATACTAATATTTTTTATTAAAAGATGTTTTATTTCTATCCAAAATCTCTTCTTGACTTTGGTGCTTTAAATCCTGTTCATTTTTAGCTTGCCTCCCATATTTCACTCTTTTCATCTATTTGTATTAAGATACAATCATTCATTATTTCATTATTCAATGTTTCAATACACACTAATGCCAATCACAATATTATTTAAACATACAAGATTATTCTAAAAGTAATACACATGTTTATATTAAGGTATGTTCTTGCTCTGTTTCAATATATTATTCCAATGCCAATCACAATATTATTTAAACATACTTAATAATACCATCATTCAGTCTCTTATTTTCCCATTTTATTATTGCTTTTATTTCATTATATAAAGGTATGTATATACAAATGTTCCCCCATTCTCTTATTTCTACCTAACTTATAATCATGCCACCATTCTAAAAAAGAAGGGAAAGAAAGAGAGAGACAAAAAGCAAATCAAAACAACAGCAACAAATCCTTTCCTTTCTATTCACTGTCTCTTGTCCGCTTAGTAACATTTCTAATGACCAAAAGGGTTGGTTCAGAAAGACATTCCTGCTCCAGGAAGGAATATTGAGAATAATTGGGAATGTTCATTTCTTTGCAACAGGAAGCAAATGACCAGGGTTTCTCAGCCTTAACAATTTTAAGATGTATGTCTTCAGTTCCCAGAATTCTCCATATGACATGCTCACTGGTGTAGATATGCCTGGTAATTTAAAGCAGGACAAAGGGCATAGCCCGGGAAGAATTATTAATTGGATCGAGAGGCCTAGTATCTACTGTACATTTACCTCAAATTCTCCACCACTGCTCTAAAGGAAGAGAGAAAACTCATTAAGCCACTCAGAGTCTCTTGATTGTGAGATAGGTGGCATATAAATTTAAGTACTAATAAATAAGTTAATCTTATTTGGCAAAAGTCATTTCTGAAGCTACCTTCAGGATAATAAAGTGCCAGTAGTCCCTCATTTAATCAAAATAGCTAGCTGGTTTCCATTTAAACAGTTCTCTTCTCTTTCAGCAAACTATAGAAATATATTTTTGTAGTCTTTCATTACAGAACTGTTACTTTCAGCTATTGAGCATATCAGTGTTTAAAGGAATAATGGGATTTTAAATACAGAATATAACATATATTATCTACAATGTGAATTAGATCATGTAAAGTGTTTAAAATATGCCTCACCAGCATACATGAGAAATAAATTTTATAACCCATCCCATAAATCTGCCCACATTAACATCTTCATTTTTCTCTGTTCCTCCACTGACTGCCTAGGTTGGGACTACTACAAACATACTGAAAGCACTTCAGATTGCCTTTGCTGATCGTGACACTCAAGCCATTTATCTTCTTACTGATGGGAGACCTGATCAGGTATCTATGAAGAAGCAAATCATGTCAGGACAATATGATGATGTAACACTGGCCAGATGACAAAGCATCACATTGATGTAGACCAAAGATGGTCAAACTGACTACAAGGTGACAGATGAAGGAAGGCCTACATGCCTGTGTCTCCTCCTGATCTTTATTCCATCAACACATTAGAAACATGAGAGATTGGGAGGAGGATATGGTGACAGAGGACGGCAAAGAAGCATTTCTGTATCTAAAGTAGGGCATTCCAAAATGGGATTAGGGGAAAAGTGGGATTAGGTTTAGGAGGGGAAAACAAGAATTTTGGAGGCTGCTAGCTGAATAAGAGTCTTTTTATATGAAAGACTGAGAACAGAAAAGAAGTGGCAATATTTATAGGAGGATAAAGCTCCAGTGGAAAAATAGTCAGTGTAACCCTGTGAAAGGAGGGTTTAGCTATAGCTTTTAATGGGGTATAAAAGACAAAAACACGATGATGGCAAAAATGGAAATGTTGAGTGTAAGCATAGAATAGAGAAGTGATACCAGAAAGGGCAGCTGTACATTTAGTGTTGTTTCTCTTTTAACATCTGGTAAACTTGATGCCCTGTTGCTATGCCATGGTGTTGGTTATTTTTTTGCATATACCACTAGCAGTCAGTGGTGTGCATAAGAGAACATACACTAACAGAATCTGAGCTTCACGTGAACAAGGATGTTGGAACTTTGAACTTTTGGAAAATGTATTGCTTATTCTGTGGAGTTTGGGTTTCCTCACTAACTTGCAGAGTAATGCTATTGTAAATCAAGATTAGAAAAGATTTAGCCAGTAAATAAGTTGTGGATCTTTGAATCTAGTCTTCTCTCCAAGTTATACTCCTCCTTCATAGGTTCAGCTCATTGGATTTCTTTTGATATAAAACTGAAGGACAAGATGGGAGAGAGTCTTTAAATACATTTTTGATTTGTTTCTCTTTAATTAAATATTCCATAGAAATAAGAAATTTATCAGTAAATCTGACAACCTGTGGTCAAGAGCTTTCAGATTAAGCATAACTACTATTGAAAAGTGAATCTCAACAGATTTTGGACTGAGTTTTGGCTACAAGGTGTGGGCTTCATAAGTCTGGACAACCACTGGATGGCAGCAAAGATTTAGACAACTATTTGTTGACATCTAGTGGTCATCTGGATTTTTGTGGCCAAATCTGTTAGGCTGAGGTACGGTACTTTCCAAATCATCAAGAGGAAACAGATTTCTAGCCATGGTCAGGTGCAAATAGCAAACAACAAAAAGAAAATTTGACATTGTTTAACCCTCTGTCTAAAAAATGCCTTAAAATATTGACTACTTTGGGGACAATAAGAGGTTCTACAGGAGATAGAAGAACAACGTATTAAATGTAGTATTATAGAATCTGATATAGTGTAAACCTGGATTTTATGTGTAAGGTTACAGAAATGCAAAAAATAGTTGACCTAAAGTTTGATTTTGGTTTTTTTGATGGTGGTTGAGAGTGTCTGTGTTTGCAAATACCGGTATTTTCCTACACTTCATGCAAGTAGCTCCTATTTTTGACATAGGGATGAAATGTTTCAGAGTGTAGTAGAGGGCATAAACTCTCTCCAAAATGTAATTGGAGACAGAGGTTAATGTGTTCTTGTAGGAAGTAACAACAGTAGATGAGGAAGTAAGAACAGTAGATGAGGAAAGCCCGTAGTGAACATTGTAGTGCTTAGGTTAGTTTTGGCAACCATGTAGACCAAGTGAAGCCAGGTAAATCTGAAGCTCCTCAGTTAATTTATTTATAACCCATCTTTATTATTTGTAAAAATAACTCAAGGCAGAGAACACACGTAGTATTCCTTCCTCCTATTTTTCCCGCAACAACAGCTGTATGAAATGGGTTAGGCTGTGTGAGAGAGAATGACCAAAGGTCATCCAGATGTCTATCATGCCTAAAGTGGGACTAGCAGGTCTCCTAGTTTCTGATTGGTGCCTTATGCACTAGACCAGGGGTGTCAAACTCAGATCTAGGCCCAGAGGGTGCTTAGATCTAGCCTGCGGGGCCACCCTAGAAACAGTGAAGGACTGGCCTGTGATGCCTCGGCCCAGCCCGGGTGCTGATCTACAACCTGGTGGCGGCTGGCAGCTTTCTAGAGGAGGCTGTGGCAGTCGAAAATGGAGCTCAGGAGGGCCGTGTGTCCGGCCCCCCAAGGTCAAACACATCCCTGATGCGGCCCTCAATAATACCGAGTTTGACACCTCTGTATTAGACCAAACTGGCCAACCAATAAATTATTGTCCGGAAATACTGCAACACGGTGGAATTTGGCTTCTGATTTAAGAAAGTCCTAGCCATTGATTGCCGTGGTAATAATGATTAAAGGCTTCTTCATGACTTGATTTATTGTTAAAGGCTAAGTGATCATTTAAAAGCTTTCTATTTGGGTATCTTTAAATTTACACATTTTCCCTTCCTTTCTTTTTGCACAGCACCCCAATAGAATTTTAGATGAACTCAAACTTTGGCGGAACATTCCAGTTCACACTATATCATTTAACTGTGATGATACTGGAGCCAATCAATTTTTGCACGAGCTTGCCAGCAGCACAGGTGGACGATTTCACTACTACCATATTTGTCTGACAGATCCTGATTCCCCCAAACCTTTTGAGGTAAGTCTTTAAAAATGGTCCAGGTCCAAATTAAAGGATTGAACTATAATAGGGTAATATCATAGTTGGCACCTGATTTTGAGCAAGATAGCCTTCATGTATCTACTATCCCAATTGGGCCTACTATGCAAAAATTGAAGCAGGATTGGACTTGCTTAGTACCTGGATGAGAAACCAACAAGGACGCTCAGTGCTCAAGGATATCTATGGAATATTGGGTTTGTAGATTAGATTGAGAAATCGGAAAATATCCCAGAAGAAAATGGCAAGTAATGTCAGAATTTTTCCAAGTAAACTACATGGATAGGTTCTGAAATGACTAGTAGCTGGGCTCAACCTGCAGGAGATTGCATAAAAAATAATAATAGATACTTTAGCTGTATCTCAGAGTTACTATAAACTATAACTCCATTATTCTTCACCATAGTTGGATGACCGGAATAATAGCTTTAATGAAGATAAATGTCATATAAATTTAATATGAATTTCTTAAACAATTGAAGACTATAGAAGTAAGATGTCAGGGTTCCAAGTAACATCCCCAACCAAAGAAGACTCTGAGGCTAGAAGTTCCTCAAAGTTCCATTTTATTAGAGATGTTATATTGGTACATCTGGGAAAACCTGAATCTGAAAGCTTCCAGGTTTTCCCCACCCAAAAGAAAGTCCAGGTCCCTGCCCCAGCACCCACATGTCCATCACATGGTCCAATCAATGCACCGTCCCAATTGGCGATGCCTCCCAGTCACACGACTCCAGGTGCAGGGCAGGATGTCCTTGACTCTCAGAGAAAAGAATGTTGTTATGGCTAGGTAACTCTCCAACTCCATACAATCCCCCCTCCCAGTTTCCCACAGCACTAAATGTGGCAGCCCTGAAGATCCAAAGTAAAAGATGGCTTCCAGGACTGACAAAAAGACACTCAAAATTATAAGTAAAATACAGAAAAGTGTAGGTATAAAGAGAAAAGAAGAGAGAGAAAAAAGCAAAAGAGCAAGTATTTTGGCTACTGGATAGTTTAAAAAAGAACAAGCAAAAATATTGCAGCAAACCAATATTAAGAATCAAGATTTATTAACTGGTTCAACACTAGATCAGTTCAATAAAGCAACATTTAAGTGAGTTGTACATCTTCATTTTGATACCATTTTAGTTTCTGGCTCAAATCATTGTATTTTCACCACTGAATATAGTCTCTGGGGCACTTGAGGAAATTGCTGCTCTATGCATGGCAAAATAGTAGGAAAAAAGTTACACTAGATTTTTGGTTTGCCCTGAAGTTTGATGTGTTGGGGATTGGTGAAAGCCAGGGGATTGTTTAATTAACACACAGAAACCGATAGTAATATGGTGATAATTAAAATATGGTTATTTATTTTAGATACTAATCCATTATAGCAAGCCAGACTTTCATTTGCATGGTTTTGAGCTATATGGTGCCTACAAAACTAATTGGTAACTCATGGGCTATTGTGAAAATAATATAAAAATTTCTGGCTAAAAAATATTACATTCTTGGTGCTCCCGGAATTTGGTTGTTTTTTTACAGACATTTTATTACCTGACTAAGTAACATCATCAGCTCTACTCAGGTGTTAGTTGTTGAGGTAATGAAATGTTTGCAAGAAATCAACGAAGCTCAGAGGGAGCCCACAGTTTAACCCTGAGCTATGTAAATTATTTTCTGTTGGAATTACATTTTTATAGTTAAGAGAGGAAAAAGGCTAAGACATACCAAGGAACAATATTAAGCTTTTTGCTGTCAGGATCCTTTTTCACCTTTAAAAATTATGGAGGACTCTAAAAGAACTTTTATTTCTATGGGATATATTTATCAATATTTACTGCATTAAAAATTAAAATCCATACGTTCATCAAATATTTATTGAATCATGAAGAATATTAAACCCACTAGATATTAACTAACATATTTTGCATTCAAAAACCCATATTTTTGAACAAATAAAAATAAGACGGACATTATTTTAAATTTTTCAACTATCTTCAATATCTGGCAAATAATTTTGATGTTGTGGACTCCTGAGAGACCCCCCAAGGACTAAGAACCATACTTTAAGAAACACTATAGAAAATTCTTCTTGGGAAATCAGTGCTCAGAAAAACTAAGGGAAGCAATAAAATATTACTTCAAAGCCTGCTTAAAACATAAAACAGCTGTACCATATATAGATGATGCCTTGTAGTTATTTGCTATTTTTAAAAAAAGATGTTCCGTGGTCTTTGTTTTGCTCACAATCATAACAAATGGCTTATTTTTTGGCAGTGTGAGGATATATATTTGGTTAGAAGAGAGATAGAACGAGGAGAAAAACAACTGAACACAGTACAATCCTTTTACACTGGCAGCGATTTGATGGATTTGTTTAATGGAGCAAAAAACCTTCACGATAAGTATGGGCTTCTTCTGACTTTCTTCGTTTCTTCATTCTTCAGCTTCTTATTTCATGATTTAATTTGACTAAAATATGCATGACAATTTTTGTCACAGTGGTTTCTATTTTGAACAGACAAGGGTAAAGCAAAAAAAAAAAAAAATTGATGTCAATAAAATCAAGCACTCTGGGAGAAGAAAGAAACAACTAGAAAAAGCCAGTGCTTTTAGTGTTCAAAACGATAATGAACTAGAAAATATAATACTCCTCTGGAAAACCTCAGGACAGGTAGAAAACCTTACAGGTAGTCCTCGACTTAACAACAGTTCATTTAGTGACCAAAGTTAAAACGGCACTGAAGAAAGTGACTTATGTCTGTTTTTCACACTTATGACCGTTGCAGCATCCCATGGTCATGTGATCAAAATTTAAAAGCTTGGCAACTGACTCATATTAATGATGGTTGTGATCTCCTTTTGCAACTTTCTGACAAGCAAAGTTAATGGGGAAGCCAGATTCACTTAACAACCATATTACTAACTTAACTGCAGTGATTCACTTAACAACTGTGGCAAGAAAGGTCGTAAAATGGGGCAAAACTCACTTAACAACTGCCTCGCTTAGTGATGTTGGGCTCTATTGTGGTCATAAATCAAGGACTACTGATATTGTAAGTCAGTCTGACATAGAGTAAATGTACCTCTATTGGCTCGGCAGTTTCACTCCTTGGAGTTCTTTCGGTTTCTCTGATAGCAAACTAGGCTTTCCCCTTATTTTGCTCTCGTGTTTTTCCAAATTGGCAACTTTAAGACGTGTAGGCTTCAACTCTCTAAATTCCCCAGCCAACTCACACTTGTGATGTATGGTGGTTTTCCCACAGCTGTCCTATCCTTCTCATTATTTGGTAACTTGCTTTGGTTTGCATCCAGGGGTGAAATCCAACAAGTTCTGACAGGTTCTGAAGAACTGGTAGTGGAAATTTTGAGTAGTTCAGGGAATCGGTAGTGGAAATTTTGAGTAGTTTGGAGAACCGGCAAATACCACCTCTGGCTGGCACCAGGGTGGGGTGGGAATGGAGATATTGTAGTATCTTTCCTCTGCCATACCCACCAAGCCACACCACACCCACCAAGCCACACCCACAGAACCGGAAGTAAAAAAAATTGGATTTCACCACTGTTTGTGTCTCTGTCTAGGTACCAAGCAATCGGATGTATTTGACTCATTGGTCTCACAGTGACCTAGACACTTCTTTGGGATTAGTATTTATTGTTTATTGCTTTATTGTTTGTCTGGTTTATCTTTTTTATTTCAATTTTCAGAGAGTGGTAATATCTCCAAGATGTTTTATTTCCACTTTTTTATTTAAATTGTTTGCTATCTCCAAGCTGTCTTTTTCCTCCTCTGCAAATACAGTTGGATTCTCAACATAACAGAGAATGCACACATACCTTCTATTTTTACCTCTTGTATATAAACATGGATCAGCTTTTTTCAGTTCAAAGTCCAGGCATGGGATATTTAGTCTGGTGGCTGCCTGCTTTAGTCCATATATTGAGTTTTCAATTCACATACCAGTTATTCTTTCCCTAGATCTTCAAAACTTGGTTGACCCATGTAGAATAACTGTATTAATACCTACATGCGGTTTTATAAATGTGATTACTCTAAATAGAATTCTGAGGCTTGCAAGTTTAACTACTGATGCAAAAATCTCACTGTAATTTTTCTATATTTATAAATTTAGGCCTTTGCTATAACCTAGCACTACAGCATTAAACATTTCCATTAGTGGCATAGCTGATTTTGGCACTGCCCTCCCCCCTTCCAGTCTGTTTCTCTTGTCCTTTCTTAGTTTTGTAAGAATCCATGTTTTTGTGCATTTTGGTGCAAGATTCCCATTTTTTATGGGAAGAAATGATTCAACTGTTGATAGTTCCTGTATTTTTTCCCCATGGGCATCAGACACATTCCTTGCTCTCTCTGTGCAACACATTCTCTCAATTCCTTTACTAAATCAGTGAGAACTCCTTCATTTTAATGCTGAGTCTGTTTCAGACTCTTTGTCAGTAGCCCTTCTGAATCCGATACTATTTCAGATTCTTCTGACTTATTTTCAGTAACTGCTTCTGAGTGTGCCATATTATTCTTAGCTGTTTTCTCTTGTGTACTTACTGGGTGGACTCAGATGCTACTGGTAAAATCAGGTTGGTGTGTCTGTCTAGATATTACATATAGATATTATACAGGGGTGGGTTCTACTTACCTTTACTACTGGTTCGCAACGGGGCTGCGCATGCGCTCTTCTCTGCATGCGCAGAAGCGTTCTTATGACTTCAGGGTTGGTGGGCGGAGCCTCCCACCAGTTTTACTACCGGTTCTATAGAACCGGTGCAAACGGGGGGCAACCCACCACTGATATTGTAGTTTATCTGGGATTATCCTTCATTAAAATAAGTAATACTGCCTGGATTTACTTTTCCAGTTTTAAAAGGCTAAAATCCTGTAGCCTTTGATATCTCAGCATTATTTCTAATTGGCTTTTATAATTTACTCCTCCCCGCCCCCTTTAGGGTTATATGCATAAGCTTTACATCCAAATATCTTTAGGTGTGACACATTTGCTTTGTCCCCTTCTATAACTCATACAGGTTTTATCTGCACTTTTTGGATGCAGATAAGTAGCTGTGTAAAGTGCTTCTCCGCAGAAATCATTGGGTAACCAAACAAAAGGCAACTTATCGTGGTTAGCGGGCTTTGATTCTTTCTTTCTGCAACCTTATTGTGCTCAGGAATATTAGGCATGTATCCTGCTACTCCTCTGGTTGTTCTAGGTTGCATAAATTTCAGCAAATTAGTTTCATTGTATTTTCTTTACATCATGTGCATTCTTAAGGACAATCTCACATTTACACTGCATAACATAAGAATTTATGTACTCTGCATCCAATTCAGTTATGTATGTGCTTCTTTGGAATATTATATACCTGTCATTATAATTTATTAGGCATTTCAGTTTACTACTACTTTTCCACATTTACCAAAATTCCATTAGCTAAATTAACTTTTTCTTGGTGACATTAATCAAGGCTTTTAAACATACATGTGTTGCAGGTATCTTGAACATGTATTATTCACATGCCGAAATCAGTTTTTCTTTTCAAACGATAATCATGTTCAGTTTCAAGTAAGCAAGTATTTGCTAACATACATTATTTGTCTACAGCTATTTTTTTTAACAGTCCCTATGCAGGTTCGATTTTTCTTTTAGGATATTTTGATTTCACTATTTCTTTCCATTATGTGAATTTTAGTTCTTTAACGTCTCTATCCCTTTAATATGTTCATTACAGGGGTGAAATGCTCCCGGTTCGGACCGGCTCGGGCGAGTAGGTAGCGATGGTGGCAGGCAATTCGGAGAACCAGTAGCAAAAATCCCTGCCCCCGCCCCCCCTGCCCAGCTGAGCCGCGCAATCATCAGAGCCTTTTTTTCCTTTTAAATGGCTCTGACGATCCCAGCTCTGACGATCCCAGCTGAGTTGCCTACCGGTAGCAAAAATCCCTTCCCCTCCCCCCCTCAGTTTGCTTACCTTAGCTGCTGGTCGCAACGCCTTGCTGTAATCCCTGCAATCCATTGCATCAGCAAGCAACTGAATCTCCCTGCCTGCAATCAAGCAGGCAGGGAGTTGTAGACTTCAACTCCCAGAATTCCTCAGCCAGCAAAGCAAAGCTGGCTGAGGAATTCTGGGAGTTGAAGTCTACAAGTCTTAAAGTTGCCAAGGTTGGAGACCCCTGTTCTATTGGGTAAGTTTTTTTCCCCTTGGGAGCTTAAAAAAAATAGTTAATTGGGTTTTTTTTTAGTTGTTCTTTTTTTAAACCTAGCCATTTAAAATTTAGGAAGTTTTAAATTTAGCTGCTTTTATATAAAAATAAAAATAAATTAAAATAAAATAATATTTGTGCACCTTTCTGAGATTTAGTGTGTTTCTATAGTGTTTCACTCTAACTACACAATCACACAAAATCTCACAAAGCTGTATGTGGAATTTTGTGTGTGTAAAGTGTGAAAGTTGGTTTCCTGCTTGTTGCAGGGGGCCATTTTGGGTCTAGCACAGCTGCTTTTACATTGTGGGTGAGCCAGTTGTGTTGTGTTATCTGTGTGTAAAGTGTGAAAGTTGTTTTTTTGGGGGGCTTTTTGTGGCTGTGTGAGGTTCCTGCTTGTTGCAGGGGCCATTTTGGGTCTAGCACAGCTGCTTTTATATTGTGGGTGAGCCAGTTGTGTTGTGTTGTGTTGTGTTTTATAGGCAAAAAAGGGCAAAGAAGTGACATTGACTTGGCCACACCTACCTTACCACCAAGCCACGCCCTCCCAGTCACCTTACCACCAAGCCACGCCCACTAATTAAGCCACGCCCACAGAACTGGTAGCAAAAAATTTTAGATTTCACCCCTGGTTCATTACCATTACAATAATGTATGAGTACATTTCTTTTTTTTATTTTGTTTAGAGAAATGCCTTCAACTATGTCACTCAAAGCATGCTTATATACCTCTAATTGCCAAACATTCTAAAAGGAAACTTTATCATGAATTCTGATTAATCTACAATGTATCAACATACAAAATGTATCAACAATATATTTGCAATTTTCTGATAACAATCTTAATAACAATTGGCTGATTATAACATCAGAAAAGTTCATTCTGTTTCACTTTAGTATCTTTTAAACAGATTATTCTAATATCCACTAAGCGTCTAATCCCTGATAATTCAAGTTTTATATTTTTTTTTAAATGTTAAAGTATTATTGTCCATTTTGTAGAGTGCCACATCTATTGTAACTTAGATTTCCTTTCCTGAAGTACAATGTTGAATCTACCATATGTCATGTTCAACTTCAGAATTATTTTAAACTTAAATAGTATATCGTCTTTCCTCTTAAATTATCCTGGTTTAGACTTTTTCTGGACAGGGCATCTCTAAAATGTCAGAGAGGTCCTACTTTTCAGCCAGTGCCTCCATCTTTGTGTTCCATGTGTTGTACTCCTTCCCATCTGTATGAAATGTTCTTGTTTCAGTGTAATAATTAAAAAAAAATGTTACTAGCTTTATAAGAGGTAAAAAATGTGCTTCAATTAGGACATTCTAAATTTTAATGAGTATCCATAATTTGTGGGCTCTAAATGCTGATTCAGCCATATATTTGACCAAGGGCCTAAATTGGGATAATTATTTTTAAATAACTAGACTCATCTCAGTGCTCAGTGTTTAGTTATGGTCCATAGCCTTTGGTTGGAAAATGACTTTGGGCAATTTCCAGATTTCCATTTACATCAAGCATACTCCCCATTAATCCTATAACCCAATCAGAGCACACATATAAGTTCAGCTAGCAAAAATATAAGTTGAAGCTTATTTATTAAACATCAGCAAATATCAAAATAGTTAACTGGCCAAATGGGACAAAAGGCAGACAAAACTGGGTGAGGGAGACATGAACAACAGGTAAGAAGTACTAAAGGCAGAGAAGACTTAATTCCAGCAATCAATATTAGCAATATTTCTATATCTGTTTATTTCAGAAGGCATAGAACTTTCCAGAGCAATTGAAGGGATTATTGGGAATAAATAGCACGGACAGTCCCAACAGGAGGAGTTTTGGGTTATTCCAACTCTAATTCTTTTTATACATAATAGCAGCAGAAGAGACTGTGACCCCATTATTCTGTGCTATGAAAGAAACAATATGGTGGATGGAAATGTTGTATTCAACAAAATCTTGATCTGTGGATTAGTTTGATTGCAGTTCACCTTTCTGAGACTACTTTCACCCAAATATATGTATGTGTGCGCTGTGGCCTAGGTAGTGACTTGTCTGTTTCTTAAACAGACAACCCAGGCAGACTTTTGCTACAATCCCAGTAACCATACAAGTTGAGGGACAGAACCCCTCATCTCGAGCTAGGCCCTATTCTGCCTTTGAAGAACCTGCATCAGCTTCATCAGAGCCCGGTATGGCATTCTCTGAGAGTCCAACCACAAAGAAGAGAGTTTTATATGCAGGTAAAGGAAATTACAGGGATTACTCAGTTAAAACATGTCTCGTCTTGACATATTTTTGAACATAAATTTTGTCCTATATCACATGTTTCACATTGATGCTCACTGTAACAGTCCTTACGATTCCCAGACTCATGCAATCTATATTAACCAGACAAATCAAGGATCTGAAAAATGACCATTGTGTAAGTGATTTAATAATACCCGAGCTACAGCTTGTGGCCAAGTAGTTTTAGATACCTTTTTCTTACTTTGTAGTATGAAGTCTAGTAGATAAACCTTGGAGCGTAGAGAAAGTGTTTGCAGATGGGTCCCACTTGTAAACATTTTTTCTATGGCTTTTTCTGATGTTTCCTTATACATTTCTTGTGCATGCACACAACTTTTCCTACAACCTCTCAAGAAAGAAAAAAATGAATAGTCACATATTGTAGTGTTCTGTGGGAGATAATGATAAGAGTCATCTGTTTAGAAGCATCTTGGGGCTTGTGTCTTAAAATCTATTGTCCTTGGTTAAAAAAGAAGAGGAATTATCTCTTAACTTGGAATTTAAAGAACAAATTGAGGAACTGTTGAGGAACTGAGAGCTATTTCAATCCCAGTCATTTTCTCAGTTAACTGGGTTCTTTACTGAATTTTAATATTTACCAATAGCTAAAATAGTTGAAAAGTACAGAATAAGTGATAGGAAAACATGTGACTGGGAAAATATTCTTGCCTAAAAATATTAATTATTGGTCATTGTGACCACTCCTTTCTTTCTTTATGCATATGTGTTAATGTCTTTCTTAGAGCCAACAAAGAGTAGCATGCTTAGAACTCAACGTTACACAGCCAAGCCTCCTGAAAAATGTCAAGATGGAAAAGCTTCAGCTGAAAGAAAAGGTAAGTTTTTCAGGTGAGCTTTCTCTCCTATCTATCTATCAATTCTGCATCAGCAGCTTAACAGTTAACCTTCCGTGCATATTGCATCCCTCCTGTGCTCATTTTCTCCTGATTTGGGAGCAACTATTTGCTTCATAGAGATAATCTGACTTAACTGGATAACAAATAGCATTTGGTGCTTATTGCTGGATGGATTTTTTTTAACAGACTGCATTTTTATCTAATCTTTCTTCCACTGGGAACTGAGAATGCTCGTTTCCATTCATTTTATCCTGGAAACATCGCTATGAGAGATTTAAGATGAGAGATGGCTGACCAAGGGCACCATAGAATGAATACTGCATTTGAATCTGTTTTAAGTCAGGACAATGTCATATTTTAATCCTATGTTCTCTTTTAATGTTGATGTCTTATTGTGTGATACCTCTGCACACTCCAATAGTTGACTTACTTCCTTTGACCTGACCATGCATCTTGGTTTCTCCTAGTTTGTTCCCCTGAACATTGTTGGTGTGGCTGCCTAAATGGAGTCCAGCTTTCACACACTGTAGTTTTCTCACCTATTAAACTTGCTTTCAATTCTTTTCTATTTAATCTCCTAGCCCAGATTTTATTTTGCTGAACTCGAATGTTTGATCATCCAAGTAAACAACATTGACACTATAAAACATTTTTTTAAATTTCCCCTACAGAACAGAAGAGCCCAAAACTTGAACAAAAGATAAAGGACGAGTAAGTATATATGCAATAAAAAAGAATAGGTTCCTTCTTTTGAGAATAAACCATTGGGTTGGTCATGATGTGTCTTTCATTCTCTCTTTTAAAAAGATCTTTGGATATCCCTTCAGCTCAATGGCTAAAGATTCACGGTTTGGCTGCTAAGAGACTTACCATAATGGATGCCTTATCCCCAACAGCAGTTTCTCGTACAACTACTTATGTTCCAATTTTAGATAAACATGTTGTTTCCAAAGTATTTGATGATGTAAGTCTTTGTGCTTTTTTTTGCTGCTTTTAAAACATTATATTCTCTATTATTCTAGTCACAGACTGCAATCAGATCTGCACTGTCTATTCTTTCATTTTAATAGTGGCAGAACGTAGCACACTTAGGAGAATCTAGGAATATTTTTTTATAAATGCTGCCTATGTTGTGAGGTTATTATGCTTGGGACCACCTTTTTGGTTTCTCCAGATTAACGGTATGCCGTTCCGAAGAAGATAGTAATATAGTGGCTGATTGACAAGAGTAGCAATAGCAAAAGAACTTAGACTTATATACTGCTTCATAGTGCTTTACAGCGCTCTCTAAGTCTAAGCGGTTTACAGATCAGCATATTGCCCCCAACAATCTGGGTCCTCATTTTATCAGCCTCAGAAGGATGGAAGGCTAAGTCAACCTTGAGCCAGTCAGGATTGAACTGCTGGCAGTCGGCAGAATTAGCCTGCAATACTGCATTCTAACCACTGTGCCACCACAGATTAAGAAGGTAAATGGTGAAGTTGTGTTTCAGAAGAATGCAACAGGGAGAGATGGTGGTGCCTGCATTATGTGGGTAGCAGTGTACAGCACTGAATGTTAAAAATGGTGGCCACAAATGGCATTCTGCCTTTGCATGTAATAAGCTAGCTAGAAAATGCTTCATTAAATGTGTAATGATCTCTGAGAGCTTTAAATAGCAATAATAGCAACCACGCAGTCTCAATTTAAGCTAACAATAAAACTAGTAAATGCTGTTATGAGATTTGCAACAGTTCTATTACATTCTTTTTTTTTTGCCAATGTTCTTTAACTGCTTTGTAATTTGAGATAGTAATTTATATTTTATTGTTACTCCAATTAGGCTACTGCTTACATCAACTTACCTGATGCTCATTTAGTTGCTACATGAATAGGCAAATGAATAAAATGGGTCTTTCCCTTTACGGTGCTTGGTCAGTTTTATTAGTTATTAATATGAATTACGTTTAGCTGTTGTCAGGCTTTTAATGTCATTTTAAATTGTACTAAGAATTTTGTTAAAGAGGAGAGTGTAATATCCAAAAGAGTCTTAATAAATGTTAGATTACATGGGAAAGCAGGGAGATTAGATAATAAATGTTTTGTTGTATTATGCTACAGATATTCCCTTTCGCCCATGTGAGCAGTGATAAGAAATGTGTCACCCTGCTTAATCCTCAAGCAGTAGATCTTGATGCCTACAGAAAGAAGGTGCAAGAAGCAATAAAAGTGTATGAAAGGCAAGTCTGATTATAGGATTTAACCTACTGGATATTTTTCTAGCATGAGAACTCAAGATTGATGGGCTTTTATGGGTGAATGATTATTATTGAAGAGTAGTTTATTTTAATGTTCTGTTCTACACTGACCAGAATCTTTTGACTGGTTGCTGGTTGTTGTTTGTAAATATTGATTGATCAAGACGATTCCCACACCTAGAAATAGGAAGTACCTACATACACTTTCTTCATTTCTGACAGATATTTGGATATCAGATCAATGTTTGTTGTGGCTCTGTTGTACTATTATGAATCTAGTGGGGTTCTTTTTTTAGCAAAATATTTTTGAGAGAGGCAGCTTTGTGAGCTGTTTAGCAAAACCAAAAAAGTTTTGCGATTTCCGAAAGACCAATGTTTTTATTTTCCTGTGAGTTTTTGAAGACTACAGTCCACATCAAATGTGAATTTTCTTGAGGTAGATTTGTCTAGGACGGGCCTAAGAGTTAGAAAGGTAATTCTTGACGCTCCTGTTAAACAGTTGGGTGATGGAAGACCTCAGTCAACGGAAAGCCATTGCCAGGCACAAAGAGGACACACTTCCATGCATACTGAAATTTATAAGCTCATTCTTTTAGTTTATTCATTGCCTTTGAACAAGTGGGTTGCACTCTGAAAGATTGTCTCATTTATCTTTATAGGCGCCTTGATCAAATTGTTTGGAAAGCATTACCACAGAAGGAAAAAGAGAAGTAAGATACCACATTCTGTTTCCTTTATCAGATGTTAATATGCTAAAAGTGTTAATGGGGTGAATGTTGCTAACAGTTACCTTATTTAGAACACACTATAGGTATTAAGTACTTTTGAATATCTTCAGCACTTCCTACATTCATATTGGATTGGGGGATGAGAATTATATGGAAATTGTATCTTTGGTACTTTATGAATTATTGTTGTTTTCATGCATGGAAACCATCACTTGATGTTTCTCCTGAACTGGGAAAAAACTTTTTTTCTAACTCATCTCAATAGAAGTGCATTCAACCTGCCTTGAAAACATAATAGGTTTGTATAGATACTTAATAAATTAACTTTAAGTGCCATTGATTAATTATAATATAAAATAAAAAGCAGGAGCTTGTCATTCTGTGCTCACACTACAAACTACCCAATGACAGTAAGCTAATGAGATCAAATGGAACCTCATTGGTTGCTTATATCATTCTAGTTGCGGTAGTTCTGTATGAATGAATGCAATGAATCAACAGATTTCTATGTAGGACAAAGCAGGAAAATGCATTTGGTACCCTTCAGATCTTTTTAATCTCAAAGTTCAACACAATTCAACACCACCGACAATGCTGCTACCCTACAAAGAGACCTTGACTATGTGTCAAAATGGTCAAACAATTGGCAACTCCAAATATCAACCAACAAATGCTCTATCTTACACATTGGCAAAAGAAATCAGAACATCAAATACAAGCTGGATGGATATGACCTTGTAGATGACCCTCACTCTGTCAAGGACCTTGGAGTACTTATCTCAAATGATCTAAGTGCCAGAGCTCACTGCAACAACATTGCCAAAAAGGTATTAAGAGTTGTTAACCTAATCTTGCAAAGCTTCTTCTCTGGTAATATTGTACTGCAAACTAGGGCATACAAAATCTTTGCTAGACCAATTCTCAGATACAGCTCATCTGCCTGGAATCTGCACTGTATATCGGACATTAATACAATTCAGCGAGTCCAGAGATATTTCACGAGAAGCGTACTCCACTCCTCTGCTCACAATAGAATACCTTATGCCACCAGGCTTGAAATCTTGGGATTAGACAATTTAGAACTACGCCACCTTCAATATGACCTATGCGTAGTACACAAAATTATCTGCTACAATGTTCTACCTGTCAATGACTACTTCAGCTTCAACCGCAATAATACACGAGCACACAATAGATACAAACTTAAGGTAAACCGCTCCAAACTTGATTGCAGAAAATATGACTTCACCAACAGAGGGGTCAATGCCTGGAATGCACTACCTGACTCTGGTTATTTCCCCAAACCCCCATAACTTTAACCTTAGACTGTCTGCTGTTGACCTCACCCCATTCCTAAGAGGTCTGTAAGGGGCGTGCATAAGTGCACAAATGTGCCTACCGTCCCTGTCTTACTGTCCCCATTTATTCGTGTCCTTATCCTGTATCCATAATCATGTTTATACTTATACCTGTTATCTTATACGTATTTGACAAATAAATAAATAAAATAAAATAAAATAAAGTCAGCTCTGATGTAAGACTGGCCTTGGGCCTTAAATGCCATGATTTTAATTTTTTTAATGATTGAATTCTACCTGATTGTCTTTGCAGTACTGTGTTTCTGTTTTCCATGCTCTTTTAAGGCCAATAGATTTTTCTTGAAAATGTTGCTACATCAGCTGAATGGTATAGGATGCAGAAAAGTTTGGGGAGTGAATGTTTGAGTTATGGAGATGGTCCATCATGGAGTTAATATAGAATTTGAAAAAGAATGGCCAGTATGCATCCTTGCTTGATGTCTTTCTCAGTTTTAATGACACTAGTGAGTTGGCCCTGGATGGTTAGCTCTTATTTAATTCTTGAGTGAGGTCTCTTCAAATATCTTATGTTTTAAAGTAGATTTTAGTCAATTAAGGTAGCCTCCAGTTTTTCCACAATTTAGCTAAGGATATGGAATCAAATAATTTTATTTATTTATTTATTTAGTTTGTCAAACATGTACGAGATAATAGGTACAAATAAATGGGAAATAATGCCTTGAAGTCTATGAAAATGATACTGTATAAAGGGAGGTTGTGTTGCAGGAAAAATATTTTTCAATGAGTTGATGGAATAGTAGGCATTAATCAGTGGTGGATCAGCCTTCCCTAAAGCCCATCTTGCTCCTCTACAGTTAAGTTTTCTTGTTTCAGCCAGCCCAGGAATTTCCATGACAAGTGTCTTCCACAGAATTTCCTGATTGCTTTGAGGAGGTTGATTGCTTTATAATTAGCAGGATCATCTTCTCCCTTTTTTATATGTAGGGACAATGACCACAAGCCCCTAGTTCTTGGGGACCTGCCCATACATGTCAATGGAAGTAAACAGTGAGGCCAGAGTGGGGCCTCAGATGTCCACATTGTTTTTAATGACCTTTGGACTCTTTGAAGCGTCACAGTCCAAACCAAGAACTCAAAAGTAATTTCTCAAATTAAATGGTGGGGGAGTCTGTTCATACTGACCTTGAGAAGGGTAATACCAACAGCTGCTTCCTCTGCAAACTTATTCTTTGCTATTTGCTGTCTCACACCACCTTTATATGTAACCCCCCCCCCACACACACACCTTCCCTTTCAACAGAGCAATCTTTAGCTTTGCTATCCCTGAATCTGCATGCACTTAAAGTCAGGAGCTGTAGCTTACTTACAAAGAGGGTGGTGTTTTCTCTTCATCACAATGAGCTTGACTGAAATTGTTCAGGAAGGTCTGTCTCTTCTGTTGGTCCCTGAATCTGACATCTACTACGCAGGCTTCTCTTGACTGTGAGAAGACTAGAACCTCAGTATCCACAGTCATTTCCCTTTCCATCTTTTTAAAGGCTAATACAAGTAGAGGCTGTGAAGTCCCGAAATTGAGTAGCCAAGAACGTAACTCTTATGCTTCTGTTACTCATTAGGGAATTCTGTCTTCAGTGGCTGCTTATCAATTCTTCTTCTCAGGGCAGGTCCACCATACATGTAACCTGATGCAGATACAGCTTTGACATTTTTATTTCTATTCTTTTGAATGATCAGCTGTATATCTAGTGTAACAACAGAATCATTAAAGTGATTTCTCAGATTCCAGTTTGTCAAGACTTGTCTCCTGGCTATACTCAGCTGCATAAATTTGGAGAACTAATAGATGGAACCCACATTGTAACTTTTCATTGTCACCTGGTGGTTGATAGGTCAACTGGTCAACAAGTCAGTAATCATTTTGGAGAAAATACAGAAATGCACTTGACCTCAAAAATACTTAGGCAGTAGCTGCATCAGGACTGCACAAATCTAGGTAGCCATTAGCAGAGATGAATTGTTAACTGTCATCTAGGTCAGCAGTCCTTGGAAAAAGAATAAAAAAAGAAAAAGTTTGGCTGGAGAGATTGGGCCTTACAAACACCACTCTGCTACACATTTGATGTTTGGCAGTTGGTGCAGGTTCTTACATTGTTGATGACCTCACTTGAGTCAGGGAAGATCATCAATTGTTCTTACATGGAAGAGCTACATGGACAGCAGAACAGCATGCTAGAATCAAGATCATGTGAAGTGTTAATGCCACTCTATAATGCCTTGGTAAAACCATACTTGGAATACTGCATCCGGTTTTGATCACCACGATGTAAAAAAGATATTGAGACACTAGAAAGAGTACAGAGAAGAGCAACAAAGATGTTTAGGGGACCAGAGGCTAAAACAAAGAACAGTTGCTGGAATTGTGTATGTTTAGTTTAATGAAAAGAAGGACTAGGAGTGACATGATAGCAATGTTCCTATCTAAGGGGTTGCCATAAAGAAAAGAGAGTCAACCTATTCTCCAAAGCATCTGAGGGTAGAACAAGAAGCTATGGGTGGAAACGAATCAAGGGGAGAAGCAACTTAGAACTAAGGAAAAAAATCCTGACAGAACAATTAAGCAGTGGAACAACTTGCTTCCAGAAGTTGTGGCTGCTCCAACACTGGAAGTTTTTAGACTTGGACAACCATTTGTCTGAAATGCTATAGGGCTTCCTGCCTGTGCAGGAGGTTGGACTAGATGACCTCCAAGGTCCCTTCCAACTCTTGTTATTCTGTTATTCTGCTCCCATTCCAAATGCATACTGATAGCACTTTGTGGAGTAGTATGATTTATGCCATGGTGATTTTTTCCCAATTTTGGGTTGGAAAGGAAGCATAGCAATGGAGCTATGGTGAGAGCCCTAGAATGTTCTGAATTATCTGGAGCAAATGCAAGAAAAGGTGAGCATGGAAACAATAGGAATCCTTTAACCAACAGATGCTCTCCTCTCAGTAAAGAACACACTTGATACAGTTAATATATATAATTGATTTTGGAATGCTAGTAGCATAATATATATAAATAATAATGTATAACCTTTGTTAAGACATAACCTTTGTTACTAGATTTGGACAGACTGAGCCAGTGTCCTATGTGGACTGTAAAGAATCTTTACTCGTAGCCTTAGCCAATGCAAATTGGCCTATTGCCAATCAGGACCTTCTGATGTTGGAAGATGAGATTCTAACAGCATTAACATACCTGCAGCAGGCTTCTGATCTTGAAATAGCATCCAAAGAGGAACCCCAGAGAATTTGCCCACTCCACATCTGTCCCACTAAAGAGGTTGGTAGTTGCTATTATTTATAATTGTCTTTTGAAGAAATTTCCAAGGCAGCTTCTATAAATGAAAGAAGAATGAAGAAATAGAAACAAGACTCCATAGACAAAAACAGTTTACAATAGCAACCAGTATTTCTTAACCTGGGAAGCTTGAAGATGTGTCGACTTCAATTCTCAGAATTCCCAGGCTGGAATTCTGGGAATTGGTCCACACATCTACAAATTGCCAAGTTTGAAAAACACTGCAATAGTAGCCAAATGTGTAGAATGTGTGATTTTGAACATTAGTTTTTCAAATATTTCTAACATGTTGCAGTGTGGAAGAGTCAAAATAGATTTATTTTTTGAACTGTATGTGTACTGAAATGATGCAACAAGCACTAAAAAAATATACGGATTGTTTTAATTTTATTGACAGTTTCTGTAGCTCAACCAATTTGGAGATGTTGGGTAGTTAACTACAGGGTAATAGCATCAGATAATAATTGTGATCACAAATGTCCACATTAGACATCACAAAACATTCAGTGTTAAACCTTGACAAAATAAAATTGTTTTGATCCATTTGAAAGGGGAAGGATAATATCTGAGTTGATTATGCTCAAATCAACTTGGTTCAGGTATTCCACAGTGTTTCCAATTCATCCTGGCAATGTATGCTTAAATATCATCAGGATACTGATGACATTTTACTCCAGACCAATGGATGATCTCTCTCAGGCAACCCATATATGTGCTAAATAAAATATGCAAGGGTTCCAAAGCTTGTAGGACTCCACACTGGAGCAACAACAACTTTGGGGTCCAGCTTCCCATAACTATAGACTAACATTACCTACTCTAGTTGGAGTGCAATTATCATGCCATAATTCCCTCTTCTGGATCATCAAGCAAGATGGCTAAGTGTTGAATGCCATTGGAAGATCTTATAGGACCAACAAAAGTACACTTCCCCATCAGAATCTCCATGAAGATCTTTGACCAGAACCACCAATCTAGTTCAGTTCCATGACTTGCTGTGACTTAACAGATATCAAGATAATGCATTTGTTTTAGAATGCCATTGGCTTCTCCAGGAATGATCAAAAACTGCTTTATAACAGTATTAGGAAACCGGTTCTGTTCCCCCCGGCCCCCTGCATTATTCTTACCTTTTATTTGTCCCCACCCCCAATCTGTGAAGTATCTGTATGACAAAATTGCTCAAATTCGGGAAGACTTGGACTCTGACTGGGTAGATTCGGGAGGGGTGATGGAGGCAGAGCTTGAGAATGTTATATGGGAGGAGTTTGACCCTGTGACTCCTGGAGACGTGGACAGGATTCTGGGTAGACTTAGCGCGGCCACATGTTTATTGGACCCATGTCCCTCCTGGTTGGTGCTGGCTTCTCGGGAGGTTACACGAGGCTGGCTCCAGGGGATTATTAATGCTTCACTGAGTGAGGGTGACTTTCCCGCCGCCTTGAAAAAGGCAGTGGTGAGGCCTCTCCTTAAGAGGCCTTCTCTGGACCCGGCAGTGTTAGTAAATTATCGTCCAGTCTCCAACCTTCGCTTTGTGGCGAAGGTTGTTGAGAGAGTGGTGGCGCGACAGTTTCCCCAGTACCTGGATGAAATGGTTTATCTAGATCCATTCCAATCGGGCTTCAGGCCTGGGTACAGCACGGAAACGGCATTGGTCGCGTTGGTTGATGATCTCTGGAGGGCTCGGGACAGGGGCTGTTCCTCTGTCCTGGTCCTATTAGACCTCTCAACGGCTTTTGATACCATCGACCATGGTATCATGCTGCGCCGGTTGGAAGAGTTGCGGGAGGCACTGTGTTGCAGTGGTTCTCCTCCTTTCTCTGTGACCAGTCACAGTCTGTGTTTGCAGGGGGGGCAGAGGTCGACCCCAAGGCGCCTTGTGTGCAAGGTGCCACAAGGGTCGGTCCTCTCGCCCCTTCTGTTCAAAATTTATGTGAAGCCGCTGGGTGAGATCATCCGTGGTTTTGGGGTGAAGTACCACCAGTACGCTGATGACACTCAGCTGTACATCTCCACCCCAATGATGCCCTTGAAGTGATGTCCCGGTGCCTGGAGGCTGTGCGGATCTGGATGGGGAGAAACAGACTCAGGCTCAACCTGTCCAAGACCGAGTGGCTGTGGTTTCCGGCGTCCCGATATAGCCAGTTGGTGCCATCACTGACTATTGGGGGCGAGTCGTTGGCCCCCACGGAGAGTTCGCAACTTGGGTGTCCTCCTGGATACATGGCTGTCTTTAGAAGAACATCTGACGGCTGTGGCCAGGAGGACTTTCTATCAGGTTCGCCTGATTTGCCAGTTGCATCCCTTTCTGGATCGGGACTCCTTATGCATGGTCACTCATGCCCTCGTCACTTCCCGCCTGGACTACTGTAATGCTCTCTACATGGGGCTCCCCTTGAGGAGCACCCAGAGGCTCCAGCTGGTCCAGAATGCTGCCGCGCAGGTGGTTATGGGAGCGACATAGCATTCCCATGTAACACCTCTCTTGCACGAGCTGCACTGGCTCCCGGTGGTCTTCCGGGTGCGCTTCAAGGTATTGGTTACCACCTTTAGAGTGCTCCATGGCTTAGGATCTGGGTACCTACGAGACCTCCTTCTGCCACCGGTATCCTCTCACCGGACAGTATGCTCCCACAGAGAGGGGCTCCTCAGAGTGCCGTCAGTCAAACAGTGTCGACTGGCGGCCCACAGGGGTAGAGCCTTCTCTGTGGGGGCACCTGCCCTTTGGAATGAGATATGGAGGATCCCGGATTTACACACTTTCCGCTGTGCCCTCAAGATTTTTTTATTCCAATAAATTGGACTGGCCTAATTCTTTTTAATTGCTTAATTTTAATTTAACCTACGAGACCTCCTTCTGCCACCGGTATCCTCTCACCGGACAGTATGCTCCCACAGAGAGGGGCTCCTCAGAGTGCCGTCAGTCAAACAGTGTCGACTGGCGGCCCACAGGGGTAGAGCCTTCTCTGTGGGGGCACCTGCCCTTTGGAATGAGATATGGAGGATCCCGGATTTACACACTTTCCGCTGTGCCCTCAAGACTTTTTTATTCCAATAAATTGGACTGGCCTAATTCTTTTTAATTGCTTAATTTTAATTTTTTTTTATAAAAAGGGGTGTTTTAATTAGTATGGGCCAAATTTGTTTAATATGTTTTAAATTGTTTTTAAATTTTATATTGTATGTGTTTTATCTTTGACTGTTCACCACCCTGAGTCCTTCGGGAGAAGGGCGGTATATAAATCCAAATAAACCTAATCCTAAACCTAATCTGTTGCTGCCTCCTGAGTCCCAGCTGATCGGCTAGAGGGAAAAAAACTATTTAAATTCTTGTCGTGGGGCTTCAAAGGGTTGCCCTCCAGCTGATCAGTGTTAAAAGAAAACAAATGAGTAGACCGGTGCCTGCAAAAATAAATGAGTAGACCAGTGCCTGCAAAAATAAATGGGTAGACCAGTGCCTCCAAAAACAAATGAGTAGACCTGTACAGCTCTGCAAGCAGTTAAAAGCCTGGTAGACCAGTACCTCTGCTAAATCCTAAAGCTGTGATGGCGAACCTATGGCACGCGTGCCACAGGTGGCACGCGGAGCCATATCTGTGGGCACGCAAGTGTTGCCCTAGCCCAGCTCCAGCAGGCATGTGCGTGCCAGCCAGCTGATTTTCAGGCCTTCTGGGCCCACCGGAAGTCGGGAAACGGGCCGTTTCCGGCCTCCGGGGTGGGGGTAGGGGAAGCCATTTTTGCCCTCCCCAGGCTCCAAAAAAGCCTCTTGAGCCTGGGGAGGGTGAAAAACAGGCCTAACGGGCCCACCGGTAACCTTTTTGCCATCACGTACCAAAAGCAGGGGGAGCGCAGGGGGGGTCGCGTGCACATGCGTGGGGGGGCACGAGGGGAGCATTGAATTATGGGTGTGGGCACGCACATGCACAACCCCCCTGTGCTCCCCCTGCTTTTGGCACTCGACGACAAAAAGGTTAGCCATCACTGTCCTAAAGAATTGTCACATGACTATCAAGCCACGCCCACAAAATAAGCCACGCCCCCAGAGCCGGTAGTAAAAAAATTTAGAATCCATCCCTGATCCAAACACTGAGTATCGGGCAAGCTTTTTATTCAGAAGGTGCCTGCTAAGGTAAGAATTTGAGAAACTAATTCCCTCAGAGATAGTCTGAGTAGAGAGGCCTAGAAACCCTGTCAATGAATGAACAACTGAATAAATTTGTTGAATTCTTAACCTTTGTTAAAATGGTAAAATTGCTGATTTTATCTGCATAATGGAAGTACTCTTGGGTTTTTCCAAATAAAATAGAGATATGTTGATTTTCTAAATCATTACATTTGGGGTGCAAGGGACATGAAATATCTTTATTTAGCTATCAGATTACTTTAAATATTCATTTCAAGGAAATGGGCATCTTTTACTTGGCTAGGAACGGATGCTTTTTTTTTTGATTGACTGATGTAATCTGTAATTGAAATGGACAGATGATAAATGAAAACTCTTGCCTTTCAAGGATTACATTCAGTCAGAGAAATGGGAATTATTGACAAGGAAGGTTATTAAAATGCTAATAAAGACTTTTTAACAAGGTCTTTGGCAACCATAATGTAGGAAGCTTATCAGCGGGAAAAAGCCAGACTTCTGGGAGATTTCTAATTGTGTGTTTCTTCTATCTTTAAAAAAAAAAAAATCTGAAAAGCTTTCTTTTCACTTGCTTGGGCTTTATTTTTTGGTGTTATTCAATTAGCTTTTTCTGTTCCAATTGGAAGCCGTATGTTAATCTACCATAATCTGTTCCAAAGATTACATAAGATTTCAATGTTAATAGCTATGTACAGAAATGATCAACCCGTAAACAGCCCAAAAATAAGATACGAGCATTTGCGTATCTTTGGGTTTTATTTAAGAGTCTCGTCTGCAGGCATAATCAACATAAACTCTTCTGTCTCCCCCTCTCCTGCAATGAATAGCCAAGAAATTCAATCCTGCATGTCCTTCTAGCTTTACATCTATAATTGGTGGAAGGAAAGGTTGCAAATATAATTCTAAAAGCAAGCAAGTGCATCTTGGCTCTTGGAAGCAGGATGGTGCAAATAGGACAATTGTAGCAGACAGAGAAGGCATAGGCGGAAACCTTCCATATAGTCCTTCTGCTCTGCCTGGACAAACACTTGTTCAAGCAGAAGGAAATGAGACCTGGCAGCAGTTCAGCTTTAATAAAAGACAATATTCATAGCTCAGGGTTGAATTGTGGGGTCCTTGGTGATCTCTGAGCTTGGCGATTTGCTTGCAGACATTTCATTACCAAGCTAGGTGGCATCATCAGTGCAATGACGATGTTACCTAGTTTAGTAATGAAACATCTGCAAGAAAACCACCAAGCTCAGAGACCAGCAAAGTCCTCACAGTCTTGCTTTACCTGGATAAGCCTCTCAAATTGAATTATCCTCCTCAAAGTCTGGAAGGGTTCATGATCTGCCTTTTGAGAGCCCCTGCATTAAGGTTATTGTTCTCCGAACTTTCTTAAAGATTTGATCTATACTTTTTTTCAGATACATCAGATTGATAAATTAGATAATGATAATTTTGCTCTGACCTTGATTTGTACCAACTCATCAGTTTCCCTAATTCATAGGCTTATTCTGGCTCTTTTTCTCCACCCCCACCCAAACCTGCCAACATATGCTGTAGACATGATGTGATTAACACAGAGCAATCACTTATCCTGAGACAACCTTTATTAGCAGCCCAGTCAGAACATCAGCCTTAGTAACTGTTAATCTGCATCTTTAAAGCCTTAAGAACTGAAGGGCAGAAATGTAGGCAGCATTCTAAATTTCATTTTTGCTTCAAGAACGAATAAAAAGCTTCCCCAGAAAAATAATTATTTAAAAATGTGACTAGCAAACATTAATCATCGCTCATTTATATGAACAAATCCAAGGTAATTTCTGTGAAATAATTAAAATATATTTTTTATATCAGAATAACTTTCTTAAGAACCCCTAACTTTATTATCTATCAAAGAGAAATCAAAGCCTTTTATTGATGGCCTTCTGTGACCAACTCTTTACTTATTGCTTTATTCATATGGATTATTAAATATATTAAAGAATTGCATAAATAAATCTCTAAGTGAGGCTGTATTATGACCATTATAGTATAGCAGTAGATTATTGTGAAAGATTTGTATTGCTTTACAAATCTGGATTTTGAAAGCTCTTAAAATGACTACATGTAATTCAGTTTTGAATGAAATTCAGTGAAAGGTATATTTGAGTAATTAAAATCAGTTTATTTGGGGAAAATGAACCATACAGTAATTGCCAAATTTGGGATCAAAAACAGGAAGGAGAGAGACAGAGACAGAAAGAGAGAAAATACTTTGTATTTTATATAGTACATACAAAATTTTTCATGTACTTTATGTTTACCTCAGGAAGAAGACATGTTTTATACTACCTAAATTTTTAAAAGGATTTTTTAATCCCACTTTTATTATTTTCATAAGTAACTCACAACAACAAACATACAGTACCTAATATTCCTTCGCCCTCCTATTTTCTCCAGAACAACAACCCTGTAAAGTGGGTTGGGCTGAGAGAGGATGACTGGCCCAAAGTCACCCAACTAGCTTTCATATCTAAATCAGAACTCACAATTTCCTGGTTAGAGCAAGTTTTAGACTTGATAGCCTAAATGGCCCCTTCCCAGTGGTAGGATTCAAGTAATTTAACAACCAGTTCTTTGCCCTAATGATTTCTACCAACAACCAGTTTGCCAAGCTGCTCAGAAAGTTAATAACCGGTTCTCCCGAAGGGGTGCGATCTGGTTGAATCCCACCACTCCCCCTTCCAATATTATGATTCTGTCATGTTAATCATATTGTATGATCTAGTTGGCAAAGACAATCTGAGGCCAAAATTGGACGTTTCTTTTCCAGCTTTATGACCTGACATCTTTAGGAACTGAAAATGCAAATCTCTTATGTGTCTATTCCAAAGTCTGTGAAGAACTTCGGAATTGTTGTGCCTGGAATGTTATGAAAAAAATGATTAGGTTCTTTTGGACTGATGATCATAAACCAAATTCAGTTTTGGCTGAACAAAAATTCTCAGCCTTTGAGTTGGCTTTATATTGCTGAAGATACAATGATCAAACAGAGAGATTCTTTATAGCTTTAGTTTAATTTATTTTTCAAAACTTGATTGACACGTTTTCTATAAAGCCCATTTTATTATTTTTTGATACTGTAGAAAAGTAGAGAAATTTAATTTATCTATTATATTGTATTTTGTTTTCTTTTTCAAAAAATTGACATTACTTTGGAATTCAGTTGCTGTAATTTGTACTGTTCAAAAAACCATCAATAACAATTATACTATTGAGTCACCGTATTTCAGTTCATTACAAATATTGTTATTATATAGGACCACATTTTTGTAAAGTTTATTCTGTTTAAGTCTTAAATGTGTTGTGCATATCTGTACTTTGTTTTATGTTAATTCTGCTATGATACATTAGAATGAGCAAATATCTGGTGTTCCCTATATAATACAGTCATTTTTATTAACTACAGGCAAAGAAACCAAAAACAAAAATATTCGATTATCTCAAAGGCCAAAATGTCATTGCAAGATCAGAATGCACAGGATTTTATTACCCAGGTAAATATTGTCTACAGGAATATATTTGGGGTAGAATTTTATTTGAAAAATTAAAAAGTTCAGTCTCAAAATCTGATAGGCACCTGTAAATTCTGTTACAATTAGTAGCACAGGGATGATTTAACCAAGTGTTCCAACATTCAGCTAACTAATACTTCTGAAACCAGGTACGCATAACAGAATTTACTGCAATTCTTTAAGATCTAAACACACAAAAAAATTATTAACAGCAGTAAAGATTTGAAAGAACAGGCTTGGATGATTATATATTTGCCTGCTTTGAACACAATTTCAGAAGATGTGCTTCCCATTTGACACAAGTGCAGCACTTCTTAGATGTGTATCAAGGCAGCCTGTATTTTCTAAATTTTCCTGTAAATGTGACAAAATGTGCCACTACTTCTGTTACCTTTCATAAGTGGGTTCTTTAATGCCAAGGCAACTTTTTTCAGACTCACAGCTTTAATGAATAACTGAGTGTTTGATATATGTTTGCGGTCTAAACTATTTTTAAAACATCCACAATGCTAGAGTTCTCATGTGGGTAATAAAGACAAAAAGCAAATCTAACCATTTCAAAAACAAAGGACAGAGGAAGACAGGCCAGCCCATTCAAATAAGACAAATATAGATGGTCCTTGGTTTTCAATCATTCATTTAGCGATTCTTCAAAGTTACAATGGCACTGGAAAAAAAGTGATTTATGGTGAAACTGGTACAAACACTTACAACTGTTGCAGCATCCCCATGATCATGTGATCGAAGTCCAGGTGCTTGGCAACCAGCATGTATTTATTTATAACTATTATAGCATCCCAGAGTCATGTGATTGCCATATGTGATCTTCCCAGCTGGCTTCCGACAAGCAAAGTCACTTAACGATCACATTAACAACTGCAGTGATTTGCTTAATAATTTTGGCAAAAAAAAAAAAAGATTAGTTTCCATTAGTGGAAATTCTAGTCTTAATTGTGGTTGTAAATTGAGTACTACCTGTAGTCAAGTGGCAGGTCAGACAATAGAAGGGTGTTTGATAATTGTATCTTTACACAGGGCTAGTCTTGAACTACAATAGTTGGTTATGCTTCCTGGCTTTCTTCAATAAATACTCCTATGTTTTTAGAAGCCTTATAAAGTTATCCAAGTGGTTTACTTTTTTGCTTGATTGAATAAAGCTTAATATCCAGCTGTGGTTTTCAGAACTGAAGAAACAAAAAATGATGTATGGCAGGAAAAAGAGTGGGAATATGTATATTATTATGAAGGTTGTAGGAGGTATATGGACGTCTAATGGGGTATGAATTCTGTCAGAATGACTAGCTATTAGATGCCAGAATAGAAGAGAGTTCTTTTGTTTTGCTGCCTTCTGTTCCCAGGAGGACCTTGTGTCATGTCTCTTCTTAAGATCAATCAGTTGTTTTTTGAGTGTCATAAGTTGTTTAAGACTTGTTTTATTACCATTGCCAGTCTCGCTTTTGTACATCTTATAAGCCAAAGTGAGAGCTTTATTGGCTTCTACACAATCCTTGTCAAACCATGGTTTGGAGTCAATACAGGGCCTCTTAGCTGAGAAGTTCCAGTCATGTACTAGCAATGGTTGTAGCTTATGCACTATGTTTTTATATAGTTCTAGTAAATCTTGGGAGGAGTTGGCTGTAATAAAGGCTGAGTGATACATATTAGTATATTTTCAATTATTTGCCATTGATAAATTGTGGATATGAAATTGGAAGAAGGGCCAGCCAAACATCTATCACATGTTATGCATGAACATGAAAAGAGGTTGCAAGGGTATTTCAGATGAGGGAATGTATGTATTTATATAGATTTAAAAACACCCAACTCCAAACAAGAAGATTCTTTGCCATCATAGAGAATTATGCATATAGATACATGCATACAACCCTTTTGAGTTTTGTCAGATAAGTGGTTGAAGGGAGAACTTGCTCCCTCAGTCCAGCTCCTTAATTCCTTAAACAATCATGCTATTCTGAAAACCCTGATCTCATCTGATTTTGGAAGCCAAGCAGGGTCACGGTTGGTTAGTATTTGGATGGGGGGACTGCCTGGGAATACCAGATGTTTTAGGCTTTTATTTGTACTCAACCCAGAGTGTGAGGGAGATGGACAATTTCTAAATTTGATTAATAAACAAACAGCTTAAAATCTTCATCTCAGCACTCTTCAAAGACCAATTGCTGGTAGGACCAGAAAAATAATTTATCACATTGAATCAACTGAACTACAAATCATATTGTTTAATCCCACATTATCTTTTTTTGATAATGTGGGATTATCTTCAAAAACAGTAGTTTTCTTGCTTTTTCTTCAGGTGGGAACTTTTTCAGTTCTGTTACTTAAATTCCTTTTAAATGGAGAGAATGGTGATGAAATGTGACGATGCATTTGAATGAGCCGAGGTGGCGCAGTGGTTAGGGTGCAGTACTGCAGCTACTTCAGCTGACTGCTAGTTCAGCAGATCAGCGGATCAAATCTCACCGGCTAAAGGTTGACTCAGCCTTCCATCCTTCCGAGGTGGGTAAAATGAGGACCCAGATTGTTGGGGAAAATATGCTATTTAGTATACTGCCTTTGGTGTAAGCCGCCCAGAGTCCTTGGAGAGTGGGCGGCATAGAAATATGAATAATAAATAAATAATAAATAATAAATAAATATTCTGCATGTAATTTGAATTATGCGTGTTTCCACCATGTTTTTGTTTCAGGAACAGTGGTGAAGAGCATCACATCATTTTATGCACTTGTTGATTTTGTTAATGGGCAGACTGAGATTGTCCCCTTGAAGTTCATTTTGTTTATTGGCGGTGCAACACCTTGTCCACCCTTGCAAGTAAGTAGCATGCTATTTCTCAAGATAAGTTTAGGTCTGGATTGCATGGTGCTTTTTTAAGGCAGGGGTCTCCAACCTTGGCAACTTTAAGACTTGTGGACTTCAACTCCCAGAATTCCTCAGCCACCATTGCAAGTAAGTAGCATGCTATTTCTCAAGATACGTTTAGGTTTAGGCTGCATGGGGCTTTTTAAAGGCTTTTAAAAGGTTTTACTGGCTGAGGAATTCTGGGAGTTGAAGTCCACAAGTCTTAAAGTTGCCAAGGTTGGAGACCCCTGTTTTAACGCAATATGCTTTTTATTTGAATATGTTTGGAAATTCTCTCTGAATGCAAGATCAGAACAGCTGGTTTACTGTAGCTGTATGCTAAAAGTCCAGTTTGATCCAGAGAATTCCTCATTCCTGTGAAAATGACTAGAGCAGGGTGTCAAACTCAATTTCATTGAGGGCCACATCAGGGTTGTGTTTGACCTTGGGGGGATGGGGGGGCGTGGCTGGGATGGGCATGGCCAGCTCAACGTCACTTGTCAAAGCTCTGTTTTCGGTGGCAACGGTCTGCTGCAGCCCTCTGCCAGCAAAAATGGAGCTTGGGAGGGGGGTGTCATGTGCGGCCTGCCTGGGCTCCGTTTTCACTGGCAGAGGGCTGTAGGAACTGTCACCACCGAAAACAGAGCTTGGGAGGGCCATGCGCGGCCCTCCCAACCTCTGTTTTTGCTGGCAGAGGTACTGTGGGCCGGTCCTTTGCTGTTTCCAGGGCAGCCCCATGGGCCAGATCTAACCACCCCGAGGGCCAGATCTGGCCCACAGGCCTTGAATTTGACACCCCTGGACTAGAGTAACAGAATAACAGAGTTGGAAAGGACCTTGGAGGTCTTCTAATCCAACCCCTGCTCAAGCAGGAAACCCTATACCATTCCAGACAAGTGGCTGTCCAGTCTCTCTTTTTTTTTGATGAAGCACCCACAACTTCTGAAGGCAAGCAGTTCCAGTGGTTTATTGTTCTCACTATTAGGAAATTTTTCCTTAGTTCTTGGTTGGTTCTCTCCTTGATCAGTTTTCATCATTATTTCTTGTCTTGCTTCCTGGTGCTTTGGGAAATAGTTTCACCCAGTGGTGGGTTCCTCCCGGTTCCGCCAAGCCGGTAGCGGTGACGATACAACATCACTGAACCACTGATCACAGAATCACAGAATTCTGCCCCCCCGCCCTCCCATCCCCCATGTTATTCTTACCTTTTATTTGGCCCCACCCCCAATCTATTGCTGCCTCCTGAGTCCCAGATGATAGCTAGAGGGAAAAAACCTGTTTAAACTCTTGCCGCAGGGCTTCAAAGAGCCGTCCTACAGCTGATCAGTGTTAAAAAAAAAACAAATGAGTAGACGAGTGCCTGCAAAAATAAATGGGTAGACGAGTGCCTGCAAAAATACATGAGTAGACTGATGCCTGCAAAAATAAATGGGTAGACAGTGCCTGCAAAAATAAATTGGTAGATCGGTACAGCTCTGCAAACAGTTAAAAGCCTGGTAGACCAGTACCTCTGCTAAATCCTAAAGAATTGTCACATGACCATCAAGCCACGCCCACAAAATAAACCACGCCCACAGAACCGGTAGTAAAAAAATTTAGAATTCACCCCTGGTTTGACCCCCTCTTTGTGGCAGCCCCTCAAATATTGGAATACTACTATCATGTCACCCTTAGTCCTTCTTTTAATCTATTTCTAGGTCTAGAAAAGTCAGCTATCTTTCCTAAAAAGAAATATTTCTCCATAATTTACTCAGTGAAAGGGATATCTTTTATGTAGGTATAATACTTATTTTTTCATTAATTATTCCATACAGTAATAACTCATAATGACTATATAAGTCATATGCGAAAAGAGTAAATGTCTTTAGAGTAGACAGGGATCAAGATTTGGGCTGTGAGCGATGGGAGAGAGATTTATCCTATTTTTCTCACATTCTGCAGTCTTGATCAACTTGATCAAATCTACTCTGCCTTGCTGATCATCTTGGAAAAGGAATTGCTATAGACATCATTGCAATTTTCACCCTGGAACTAAGAGTAGTTTTTGTTTGGGTTGCTGTAAAGCACAAATGTTTGATAAAAATTATTATAAAGTTGAAAGGGAAATAGCTTTTCTGGAACAGCAATTCCATGCAAATTTAAATAGATTATTTTTTTTTAAATGGCTAGTGTTGATCAACAGTCTTTATCTGTGATTTGATGTGGTTCATTTTCAATTTGTACACATAGCTTTTGCAAGATGCAGATCACTGTATCAAATTGGAAGTGAGCCGTATTACATTCATTTTTATTTTCAGATAAGTATCAGAGTTGGGCAATGTTCTGTGAGAAAACATGATGTACCACATCTGGCATTGTATGTTTATAAAGTAAATTGACCCTTGATTTTCAAAAACAAAAACACCGAAACTAGTTTGGGTCCCATGCAGAATTCTAAACATCCTTTTACAATGGAGGTTATAGTCTAATAAATACCTGGGCTTATTTCTACTTTCCATATTTTATAAATGAAGATGGAAACTCTACATTCTGATGGTATTATTCATTCATTCATTCATTCATTCATCTTTATGCAAAATCTTAGGTGGCTCATGAAAATGAAAGGTTACAAAACCCATAAAACTACTCAATTGTAAAAATCACAAATCATTACACCCACATATTTATATGGAACAGCATCAAAAGGCACCAGAAGTGTAAAGATGCATGTTAAAAATAGTTGACAAGACTGAACTTCCACAATGCTTAATATACCTCAAAATCAATGAACTTTGTAATGAAAGAACCATAATAAAAAAAAAAAAACTAGCGCTACCATTAGACAGCAATTAGGAGGAGCAGGAAAAAAAACATATTTGCTGCCATTTAGTGGCATCACTAAATCTGGATTTTTGCAACCTAGAATCTGTTTGTCCTATAATAACTATGTCAGTGCATTTCCCATCAAGGATACCTGAAGAAAGTGCTCTAGATGCCACTTTAATGGCATGGTATATATGGTACCGGGGAGGGAGTATCATGATCTTGATATGTGTTCGGAAGAGAATTAGCATCCAGTGCAGATAACCTCAGTACAACGCAGAGAATAGATGTAGGTGCCATTTGCTGATTGGATTTTAGCATTTTATATTAGTTGAGGTCTGTGTCTTCAAAGATAGAAATCTGTAAAGTACATTGTGGTAGACAAAATAAGAGGTTATTGAGACATGATCCTTGTTAGTTCAGAACATACTGTAATTAAACAAATCAGATGGAGCTGCAACTGAAGCTTGCACCAAAGGCTATATATCAATTTTTACTTTTTAGTGGATAAAGCATAGGTTCATTTATGTTACGTTTTTTGGGGGTGGAATAGAATTTAAGAGCCATAGTGGTACAGTGGTTAGAATGCAGTATTGCAAGCTAACTCTGCCCATTGCCAGGAGTTCAGTTCTGAGACTGGCTCAAGATTGACTCAGTCTTCTGAGGTTGGTAAAATGAGGAATCAGATTGTTGGGGACAATATGCTGACTCTGTAAAGTGACCCCACTTAGTGAGGATTGTAAAGCACTGTGAAGCAGTGAGTGTTATTGCTATTTAACTGCAGAGAAGAGTCAGGTATGGATTAATATTTTTAACTAAAAATTTGTATATATCCTTGTATACACTTATTCAGTTCTTGTTTTCCTTCAAATCCATACATTAAAACCTTAAAACAGTTACATTTCAGATAAGTGTGTTCAGCTCATATTTATTATTATTCAACAGGTTGGAGATTATGTATTCACCAGAATAAGGAAGCCGTCAGGTGAAGAGTATTATGTCCCTGGTGTGGTCATAGCAATACCAAATAAAGCTGATTTAGATGATAAACTCTACACAGTTTTGAAATACAACAATAAAAAGGTAAGCAGACAATGAGCAACCCACATCTGACTGGAATGGCAATGCACTGAATGTACGAATTCAACACTCTATACCAGGATAGGAATTATTTCCTCATCTTTTGACTGGTTAACTCAGTGTACCTCAACCTCAGCAGTTTAAGATACTGGCTGAGGCAGTAGTAGGTTGCAAAACCCATTGCTACCAGTTCGCTCGTGCGCGTGTGCTCACACGTGCATGTTCGCAATGTTTCTGCACAGAAGCATCCAGCAAGGGTGGGCGGAGCCTCTTGCTGCTGCCGCTACCAGTATGCCGATCCGGGTAGAACCGGTAGCAACCCACCACTGGGCTGAGGAATTCTGTAAGCCCATATATCTTAAAAGTTGTCAAAGCTGAGGAACTGATGAAATGGTAAGCATACAACTTCTTTTGTCTTTTCTTAATTTAAATTCCTGCAATGTGTTACCTAGAAAGTGCTGCAAGCACTAATTTTATTGATACCTGGCGTCTTCTGAATCTTTCCTTCAAGAATATGCTTTTTCCTCACCTAAGACTTGTTCCTGATAATTAAGTATTTCAGTCATTAATCAGATAGACAAAGTAGATCCTATTGTAATATTCAGTTATATCCCAAAAATAATGAAAAGGAGGATGAGGGGGGAAAAAACTTACTATTTTATCCAAGTGATTTTTTAAAATATCATTATCAACGACTAAAGCTTTTATAAAAGACATGAAAATTATTTTGAAGAATTCCTCTTTTTCATGGTTGTATTAATGCAAATACTTCACTTAAAAAATTAAAACAAGAAAAAGAGGAAAATAAAAACTTCTAATTACATATTCAATACAACTTACGCTAAAATTATATAAAGTGCTTATATCTGCTAAATGGGGCCTTAATTCACCCTTGGCACTTAATACAGATATGTATTTAATTCCAAGAATATTGAAACAAGAGAAAGTTGGGTAAATTAGTCTCTTCTCAACTGAACCAACTACTGTAAAGTAATATTTCTGGTTACTAAGAATACTCAGGTCAGAAAGTAATAAATTTAGATAGTGTTCAACTTTATAAAGTAAAAGATTACCAAGAAACTTTTAAAATATATTTTTAAAAATTATATAGTTCTTCCATATTTTTAAATGGTTTTTTTCAAAAGTTACATACAACAAAGCCTTTTGTTTAGCTGCACTTTCCCAGAAACATTAGATACTATTAAATCTATGAAAATAATTGTACCTCAGATTTATAATGCTGGATTTTTAAAAAATATGTACGGTATATAAAATATATATTTTCCCTGTTTATAACCAGCTCTTTGTTGGTGCAATGGAAAAATAATAAACAAGATTTAATGATGTGTTAAGAACCTGAGTTTTTCAATATGCACAATGTTTAAGACTAGAAGTCCTCCAAGATCACTTCCAACTCTGTTATTCTGGGTTTTTTTTTCTCTTCTTTTCAGTACCTTTATTTCTTAGCAATAAAACAAGTGGCGCAGTTGCCTAGAGGTGAAAGCGCTCACCTCCCACTCAGAAGTTTAAGAGTTCAATCCTAGGCAGCAACAGATGTTTCTCTATTAGGGTGCAAAGAAAAGATATTTGCTGTGAACTCCATGTAGGTGTCAGGAAGGGCAACCAGCCAGTAAATGCTCAGCTCCATTCAGTCACCCTGACTCTGCCCCAAATTAAGGGATTACCGGGTTGTAAAAAGAAAAAAAAATCTTAGCAATAAAAATATGCAATTATAAAATGATGAGGTATTTTGCTTTTGACATCAATTTGTCCCTAAAATAATGAAGTTAAGATGGTTGTCTCTACTTCAGTTCCCTAAATGGGTAAAATCAGTATCTAGCATAAGAAACATACATAATTAATAACATAGAGTGATTATTCAATATTTTGTTTAAACAATCTTATTTTTGACATTACTTTAAAGATGTCTACTGTAGTAATCAATCTTTGTTGTGGAAGACTGAAGAATAGTCAACTATTTTTAGTGAATAATACTTGCTTTTTAAAATATTCTGAGAAATTGAGCTCCGGTACATTGTGCTCTACAGTTAGTCAACTCACCACTTTTTCTTGCTGTTTAACACATTTCTTTAATTTGAATGATTTACATAACTCATTATATTAAAAATCAAAGTTTAATTTAAAAAAAATATGTTTTGTTATAGGATCATTGTGTACGAAACGGGCTTATTAAAATTAGTCATAGAAGGTACACTTGTTCCTGCTGCTACATCAACATGACCAAGATGATGGATTACCTCATGTGAGCATGAATAAATGCTTTTCATTGTATAAATTAAATGCATGTAATGCATATCGTCAGATATCTGTTAAAACAGGTTCCTGTTAAAACTGCTAATGTAACTATCAATGTTTCTGGAAGATTCTTCATTTCAGAAAGTATAAACATTATTCCCAATGACTTCTATCTTTTGTGGATATTGTTTGCACTGGAAAGTAAACCCTTACTGGTTCTGAGAAAAAACATCTGCCTGCTGCAAATAACTGAGGATGATAGGTGTTGGAAATGAAATAGGGAAAAAAAATTCCCTCCCCACTCATAAAATCTCCGGGCTACATAAGTAGTGTCCATGCTTAGTTTGTTCTTCAGTACAATAAATTATTATGAAATTTGCCAGTGCAAATTAAACTTTTAATGTAGCAATACAATCAAGAATGAGGCCTTTGTAATCAAGACCTGTTAAAATTCAGAGTTTTGTTATAGGGAAATGGAAGAAATTCTAGCAGTGACACTGGGCTTTATGTTATTTTTCAAGAGCTATCAGGAACTATAATGTAATGCTCTGCACCATCAAAGCTATACCTTTCCATTTCAGTTCTGTTTTATTGAGCAATATCTTATATTCCCAGAAGGGCATCTCTAGTTAATGTATTATGGCTGGCATCCAATTTATTTGAAAAATAATTGTACTATTTAATAATTGAATCCTTTTAAAGCTATTACCTGGAAGAGTTCTTTATCAAAATGAGCCGTCATTATTGTCTGAATTGCAGTGAGGTCAGGAGAATATATTTGCTAAAATTTAGCTAACTGCCATAAGCATCTGCAGCAAGCCATAATGACCAAAACATGAAACATGTGCAGTGATGTCTCAATGAAAACCCTGTTGTTCTGATACACCTAAGGAATGTCAGAAATTATATCATGATGTCACGACATCAGATGCTGCCTTCCACTCCTGTAGACATCTATCCTTACAACAAAAGAGACCTAGAAAAGGATTGTATGTAATAGTAGGAAGGAGAATTATGAGAGCATTGTTACAACAGAGACTTAGGTTAGTTTCTGTATGAAGTACGCAAGGATGATCTGATGATGACATTTGTCACTCTGCTGATCATGAGGTTTAATTCAGATGATCTGGCTGACTAGGTGGGTAGCCCATAGTTCCACCACTGTGCTACATATGTTCCTCTTGAAGATGTGCAGTTAGCGGAAGGGGAAGAACAGAGTGTATTGTTCTTCAGTCATGAATATACAAGAGCTAATATGTGAATTGCAATGTGATATTTAACCATAAAAGGAAAGTAGGTAGGATGGGGCTTATCAGTAATGTATTGGAGTATAGATATAATAATGAATAGAATAGGTATAGAAGGCAGGTATAAATATATTTTGCCAGCTGCTATTGTCCTCTCCTTGTCATTCCATAAATAAAATAAATAAAATGTTGGTGGAAATTTGAGCTGCACCATACCTACCTTTATTCTATTTCCTTCTTTGAATTCTAGACCAAATGTAAAGGTTCCGAAGCACATCCATAGGATAGTCGCAGATGCCGAGAGACAGAAAAAATCTATTTCTGTAGGAGGGGATTGGAAGAAGAAGACGAAGAAGAAGGACAGAGGAAGAGTTAACAGCAAAACGGAGCGTTGTAAAGAATGGAACACGACTGTCTGTGATGAGATGTTTGGCCCCAGAAGTAAAAGAAGAGGAAATAGCTCATCACCCTCTTTTCGTCGCAAAAAAGAAAATACAGGTACAGAAAGTAAACAGGAAAAAAAATAGTAAGGCAGGTTATAAGTTCAAATGTAGCTAAAATGGAACTGCTCCATTAGGACTTCTTATCGATTACCTATTTGATTTTTTTTTTGTCTTAGTATATTTATGTTTGGAACTTTGCCATTTATTTTATAGATTCTTCTCACATAGCCCAAAAGATAGACTGTCCAGATGCTACTTCATGCATATGTATACATACGTATTCATTCTATATGCCCATAGACCCAAGTAACTCAACTACTGTTCCAATGATAAGATGGCTGTTCTCTTACAACAGAGACCTTCCAATAATTCCTTTTATCATTTCCATCTGCCATTATCTGTTTCTTTTCTCTTCCTCACTAAACCTTTACTAAACGGAATGATTTGTTCTAGTCCATCATCTGCTCAATTAACATGCCCACAATATGTTATTTTCTGCTTCATGAACAGCCAGTTTCATCTGATTCAGAACTGATTGATTAATTCTTCTTCCGTTCCATGGCACTCTTGGTAAATTCAGAGGTTCTGTCCTTGGTCAGAAAGATATCTGCCACACACATTAACCTTAATACATTCCACATTCAGCCATGATTTATACCCTCCAAGGACAGGTTGGAATCAATGAAGCAAAGATAGATCTTATTATATACTCTTTTCCTTTCCATTATCTCTTTTTTATTGGTTGTTTGATCTTGTTTCTCTTTAAATTGACTGTTCCTTTGGCATTTCTCTCTACCTGCAGCTCTTTTTCTTTGTAATATTTTAGGAAAACTTGGCTTGTGTGAAGAAAGTGCAATGGTTCACTAATTTGAGCATTCTTTTGAACTCCCCTCCCCCTTTTCCAGTACAGGTGTATATCATGTTCTTTGCCAGTCTTTGCTCTCACACTGCCTCTTAAATTATCCCTTGGGTATATTATCTTTACCTGATTGATAGCTAACCTGTTGTCTATTGTACCTCACTTTCTCTTGGAATTGATTTTTGAATTTAATCCTATTATACAAATCTTTTAATAGTCTATAATTCTATTTGAAAAAGATTTCAGTGATAGGCATCCATAGAGGATGAGAAAGCTTCCACTGTGACAGGCTCTGCCCTTTTCACGTCACACACAAGTACATCATTATTTTGATGAAGTATTGATTTACTATGAATGCCCCTAATATCAGTATAGTATTTCCATTTTTCTTTCACCTCATTTGCCTGTTTCAGATAGTAACCTTATTCTTGAATATTAGTATCCTAAGCACAAATTTGTGATTGACTCAGGCTTTATAAAAATATCTTTCATTTTCCTGTTCTTATTATATTCCTCCATTGGTTGAAATAACTTTCCTTGTTCTTGCTTGCAGGTAGTCCTCAACTTATGACCTCAATTGAGCCTAAAATTTCTGTTGCTAAGCAAGACATTTGTTAAGTGAATTTTGCCCCATTTTACAACCTTCCTTGCCATGGCTGTTAAGTGAATCATACAGTTGTTAAGTTAGTAACATGATTGTTAAGTGAATCTGGCTTCCCATTTGACTTTGTTTCTCAGAAAGTCAGAAAAGGTGATCACATGACCATGGGACACTGCAACCGTCATATATACGAGTCAGTTGCCAAGCATTTGAATTTTGAACATATGACCATGGGAATGCTGCAACGGTCATATATGTGAAAAATGGTCGTAAGTCAACTTTTTTCAGTGCGTTGTAACCTCAAATGGTCACTAAATAAACTGTTATAAGTCGAAGACTACCTGTATTAACTTCAGTTTACACATAATGTGCGCAAGGCTTCCATCGTCCTTGTTTCACTGCTTATCACATGCCTTGTTCAAAAAGCCTCTTTGAAATGTTGTGATTTTTTTTCCCTCCACTGGTTTTGGAAATATTTCTTATCTCTTGCTGAGAGATGCTGTGTACTCCCTTGAACTCCAAATAACTTTTCAGAATCATATCAGAAACACCGCACAAAAATTCTGGATATAAATAAAATGAATATAATGATATAATAAATATTATACTAACATCCAGAGATATTTCCTTACCAGATTCCACAATGCCTCAGTTGTACAGCCTTCACTGGGAAAATTGGAATACATTCAAAGATGTATCTGAATGTACAGCACAGTCAAACATCAGCATAGGGAAATGTTTTATGACATTTTGTATTACATCATAAATTGTTTTATTATAATGTTTATGTCATCAAACGTTTTGTAAAATTGCCGAATTTCAATTCCATGGGAGTCCTGGATACCAGATTTTGGACACATTCTGTCAGCCCATTTGAGGCAGCTTGGTTCAAAAATCTTTGCTCTAGGATGCAACATTATGCCCAAGTTACAGGAACAAGAGTTTTAGTGGTATATAGATAATTCTGTACTACATTTAATTTTAGCCAGACACACATCTAATGATGTCCTTTTTAAATCTCATTGTCATTCATTCCTTTATATGGACATCCCTTGAATGGTTTAGTAAATAATCATATTTTTTAAAATTATCCCACTCTGATTGGCCTTTACATTTATTTTTAAAATACTTATTCTTAAAAAAACATGGAATGCAATATATCACATTTCAATTTTACTAATTTCAGATTTCCTTGATTCATACTTCTCACAGTCCATGTTACAATGGTTTGTGCCCTGTTAAATGAGAAACTTTTATTTCAGTACTGGCCCCATCAGTGATCTGATGCCATTCTGGCTTTGCCTTGACCACCTCATGATCTCAAAGTCTATTTATGATAGTTTGATGCTTTTCTTCAGTAATTAAATGAGTGACCTTTAAGTTGATATCATCACCTGGTACCCAACCTGTCTAAAAGTTAGGCTTATGCTCCTGCCAGCAGCACTCTTGAGATCATTGATCTGATAGGAGGGCTCAGAAATCTCAAAGTACAGGTAGTCCTCAACTTACGACCACAATTGAACCCAACATTTCTGTTGCTAAGCGAGACATTTGTTAAGTGAGTTTTGCCCCATTTTACGACTTTTCTTGTCAAACTAAATGACTTAGTTTGTACATAATCTCAGAAAAATCAAAGTTTCTAGAACAAGTTGTAGTCATCACATTATGTCTGGGTTTACTTTTCACACTAAGCCAAAATGCACTTACCACATTAGCTTTAGTGCAGTGTTCAAATCAAATTATCGTAAACCATGGATAATGGTTTATGTCTTGCATGAAGAATGAGCCCAATCTTTTGCAATGTATTCCATTTGAAGTAGACAAGTAATTTTTAATAGTTGTATGGTTTAATGTAGGAACTACTCAGAGTTATTATGCTGCAGAATGATAGCACCTGACTCATAATAAATATTCATTTTTAGTTTTGCATGTTTTGTAGAACTGCAGAAGTTAGTAAATCTTCTATTACTATTCTACTAGTACTATTCTAAATAGTAAATTCTGAAATGAATGAATTAGTATTGAAATTTTCTGTCTTGATGGAATGTGTGCACCTTACATTTACTAGAGTCTATCCATCTCTTGTCTAAATTATAATCTTGTTGACTTCATATTATATTACTATATTTTTTCTTGGTCTTTAGTTGCATTAACTTTACTTCCCTTTATTGATACAATGTTTTCTTGAGTCTTTTATTGTATATTGTAAGAATCATAACACATGACAACAATAAAACACAACGTGTTTATAAAACATTCTTAATCACGGTTTTCTCATTTCAATCATTCCACAATTTTGAGAATTTGCATGACACACTGACTACAATTTGACCATGTGAATTGTACTTGCTCATCATAGAAGACTAAAATACGACTAGTTTGTGATTCAGTGTGTTGAATGATTATTTGTAGTGGGGTTGGGTGATTTATGAGATTCAGTAAGGCTTTTGTAAAATATTAGTAGGATAAATAGTAATACTAAGCCAACATTTATACTATACATTATAATAACTGAGTTTATGCATTGTGTTAAGTCAAATTCAAAGACACTACATATTGAACGAGTTCATACAGCACACTCAATTAATGTGAATTAATTAATTAATTAATGTGAATAAAGTGGGGCTGAGCAGTTTATGGAAATTCAAACAATTGTCTCAGCCTGTTGTTAGGATCAGCCGTTATATGGCATGTTTCTTATATAGTTGTACATTTTGTAAAAATAAGTTTAGGATCTCAAATTGCTTTTATCATGATTGGTGAATCTTATTATTAAGACTCAAGAGAGATATGATAGTTACTTTCCAAAAGTACGTTTAAGAACATTTGAAGTCAGGCCTGATAATCTTGTCTTTGGTAGTCCCAAAGGTGCTTTTCAAAAGTCAACCGGACTTCCTTTTTTTTTTCCCTTGAAAACGTTTTGCTTCTCATCCAAGAAGCTTCTTCAGTTCTGACTTCTCATCCAAGAAGTCAGTGCAAACATATGGATTTATTTAGAAACAGATTTCATGAAATTGCTCGGTAAAACAAATGGTTGATTGCCAAGAAGTTTACAAGTTCTGATTATCATGTCATAGATTCTCTTGTATTCTAATCTTCATACTAGTAGCACCTTGAACCTTAATACATTAACAAAAATCTTATTAAAACCAATGATGCCCATTGATTCAAGAATCGGGAAATTATGGCTCCCTGAAGTTGGGAAGCAATTTTCTTAGTCTTCCTCACCATTAGCTATGGAAGTTAGAAGTCTAACATCTGAGAGCTATTTGGCTTTCCATTCATGGTTGAAGCACTTTGGTTAATGCTTAAAAGTGAATGAAAACCATGAAGCCTTTTTTCTACATTTCTATATCCATCCATCACATTGCCATACATGGCAGCAGAGTTCCACCCATGCATTCATAACACCCATAACAACATGCTTACTGCTATACCATTTCGGAAGTTATTGCTGATGGAGGAGCTCTATACAGCTAGACCTTGACTTACAACCACGATTGAGCCCAAAATTTCTGTTGCTAGGTGAGATAGTAACATTTAGTAACATGATTGTTAAGTGTCTCTGGCTTCCCCGTTGACATCAGTTGTCAGAAGGTCACAAAAGGTGACTCCGGGACCCTGCAACCATCATAAATATGAGTCAGTTGCCAAGAATCTGAATTTTGATCACGTGATGCCACAAAGGTCTAAGTGTGAAAAATGATAATAAGTCACATTTTTCATTGCCGTTGTAAATTAAACTGTATTTATTTCAGCCATATTTATTCATTTTCCCCCTTTATTTTCTCCTTTATAGAATAGTTTGCATTACAGGTAATCCTCGTCTTACGATCACAATTGAGCCCAACATTTCTCTTGCAAAGCAAGACAGTTAAATGAGTTTTTGCCCCATTTTACGACCTTTCCTGCCACAGTTGTTAAGTGAATCACAGTTTTTAAGTTAGTAACAGGGTTGTTATGTGAATTTGACTTCTCCATTGAGTTTGCTTGTCAGAAGGTTGCAAAGGGTGATCACATGACCCCAGGAAGCTGCAACCATCACTAATACATGCGAGTTGTCAAGCGTCTGAATTTTGATCATGTGACCAGGGGGATGCTGCAATGGTCATACTCATAAATATGAAAAACAGTCGTAAGCCAGTTTTTTCAGTGCTGTTGTAACTTTGAATGGTGACTGTACAAATAGTTGTAAGTTGAAAGTTATGTGCATTGCTAATGATGTGTACTGTTATTTGTGGCTTAGAGTTAGCAAATCAGTTTTCATGATTCTCACTCAATTCTTTCTCCCTTAATCTTCTTTTGTGCCGGCAGCTGCTTGCAAAACCTTCCCACTCAGTTTTTCCTCAAGTGCTGATAAGATCTGCCTGTCTTCAAGGGCTTCTGACTATAGGCCACACAAGGATCTTTGGAGTTCTCACTATACTTCTATGTACCATCAGAGCACCTCTGATCAGCCTAGCACTTATAGCAGCAGCAGCAGCAGCAGCAGCAGCAGCAACACCTCCCTTTCCAGCATTGAGAAGGTGGAAGAATTGGCAAGACGGCTTCAGCAGTATCACATAGCTCAAAGGAAGGACAATTCCAGCAGTTGCAAATAGACAGCATGCAGAATGGAAAACGAGGAAAGGGGATTAGTTGCCGCTTTTGAAGCTGTACTATATCAATCCTGAATAAACCATTTAATTTGATATTAAACTTTTTATATATTAAAATTATATAGCATTACAAGATCTTTGTAAGGAGATCTTTTCAAATGTGGCCATTCAGTTGCCTGATATATTGGCACAGAATAAAGCATCAATGCTTGATGTGGGACTGAAGGGTCATGATGACCATTGTAGGGTCATGACTGTCCTATACACCTACTCAAAGCTGCTAGCAACTAATTTCACACTGTGTTTTAGTGATAAGTCCTCCCTCTGCCTTTTCCTACTATGCTCCTGTATGTAGGAGACTTGTGTGTAGGTGTAGGTGTTAATGGGAGAGTTTGGCAAACAACTTTGAGAAGGGTTCAGACAGCAACTAAGAGAGGATAATGGAAGTGCTCAAGGACTTAGCAACGTAAGTCCTATATAAGTAGTCCTCGACTTATGGCCACAATTGAACCGAAAATTTCTGCTGCTATACGAAACATTTGTTAAGTGAGATTTGCCCCATTATATGACCTTGCCACAGCTGTTAAGTGAATCACTAGTTGTTAAGTTAGTAAGGCGATTGTTAAGCGAATCTGGCTTCCCCATTGAGTTTGCTTGTCAGAAGGTTACAAAAGCTGATCACATGATCCTGGAACACTGCAACTATGATACATATGAGTCACTTGCCACGTGTCTGAATTTTAATCACATGACCATCAGGATGCTACAATGGTAGTAAATGTGAAAAAGTCATGTTACTTTTTTCAGTGGTGTTGCAATTTTGAACAGTCACTAAATGAACTATTGTAAGTCAAGGACTACCTGTAAAGACAGATGGAAGCAACTGGATATGTTCATCCTGGACAAGAGAATGTCCAGGATGCGACTATGACACAATTCTTCAAATACCTAAAAACATTCCATAGAAGGTCATGTATTGCTCTCTATCAAGTGCAGGGCATAGAAGAATGGATTGGTGTTGTGAAAAAATAAGAGTCCAATCGAATTTTAGAAAAAATCTTATTGGTGGCAGTAATTAGATAATGAAACCTGATAGAGATGGTGGGATTCCTAATACTGAATGGAGATGGACCACATAGTCTATCTAACATCTTTTAAGTCTGTGCTTCTTTTAATTGATATGGGATGACAATCTTTGATGAAAAAGAGTGTGATACCCTACCACCACACAGGGTGGCGCGGGTTGTGCTATTGAGCTAGTCCCTGGAGTTAAGTTACCAAAACCACGTATGTACGCGATAGCCCCAAAAGAGGTGGAGGAACTGCGCAAATACATCAATAAGAACTTAGCCAGGGGGTTTATACAACCCAGCCGTTCACACATGGCCGCCCCCGTACTTTTTCGGGAAAAGAAAGACGGCGGTCTTCGTCTGTGTGTGGATTACCAGGGTTTGAATGCAGTTAGCGTAGAGCCCTTGTATCCTCTCCCTTTAATGAAGGACCTGTTAGCTGCCTTAGCCACGGGCACATATTTTACGAAATTGGACCTAAGGGAAGCATATTATCGGGTTCGGGTTAAACAAGGTGATGAGTGGAAAACCATTTTCAACTGTCCTCTGGGTAGTTACAATTCTGTGTTATGCCCTTCGGACTCCAAGGTGCGCCTGCGGTTTTTATGCAGTTAATGAGGTCCTCCATGAATATCTGTACCATGGCGTATTAGTATACTTGGACGATATTCTCGTGTATACTAGAACCATGGAAGAACACGTAACCCTTGTGCGCCAGGTGCTAGAATGTCTGTTAAAAGCTCGGCTATACGTCAAGGTATCGAAATGTGAGTTCCACTGCACGGAATTAGAATACCTAGGTTATCGTATTTCCAAAGACGGTCTGGAGATGGACCCAAAAAAGGTGACTACCGTCCTTGGCTGGCAAGCTCCGGGTACTAGGCGGCAACTACAGAGCTTCCTTGGTTTCGCCAATTTCTACTGCCAGTTTATCCCAACCTTTGCTCACATTGCCTTACCCCTGACTAACCTTTTGCGAACCAAAGGACCTGACGTGCCGAGGCCGAAACAACACCTGGAATGGACGGAAGACTGCTAAAGAGCTTTCGAAACGTTGAAACGACGTTTTGCAGAAGCTCCGGTACTTAAACACCCTGATCAATCAAAACCGTTTGTGGTGCAAGCAGATGCACGTGACGTAGCTGTGGGGGCTGTATTGTTGCAGGCTGATGAACAAGGCCAGTTACATCCATGTGCATACACATCGAAAAAGTTTAGTGCTACGGAACGGGGGTGGGCTATATGGGAAAAGGAAGCCTTCGCTGTCCGCTGGGCACTCCTTACCTGGCGCCACCTACTGGAGGGGGCATCAGTACCATTCGAGATCTGGACAGACCACCGAAACCTAATAGCTTTGCAAACGCCTAGGAGATTATCACCCAAACAGGTACATTGGGCCCACTATTTCCAACAATTCAAATTTGTGCTAAAATACGTACCAGGTGGAAAGAACTTTCTCGCCGATGCTTTATTCTGAATGCCGCAATTCCATAGTAAACGGGTTGAGGTTGTACAAGCCATGGTACCTGAGGAACCCATGGGAAAAGATGATGCCACCCTGCGGGTGGAGGGGAATCCCATGTGGGAGGAGGTGT